CTTGTCCCGGGTATTATCGCGCGATTGTGCGATTCGCGTGCACGTGGCGATGCAAATCCGATTTAGCGCGCGCATAATCGAGTTCGTTGCTTTACACATGGCGGTAGTTAATCAAGCCGTGCAAATAGGTAATCGATTCCGTAATCGAGTTCGCGTATTCGTCCCGCGTATAATCCGACGTTACAGGAATTGCTCGTGAGATCGGTCCCGTGTAACCGTCATGTCCGGGAAATTCGTTTTCTGATTGACTTCCCTAAATAGACGGATTACCCGGAAAATCGTGGGTACAATATTTAGAAAGTAATCTCTCGATTAACCACTCATGTAAAAACATAGAAGACAACAGGATATACCTATACAGGATACATTAACTTGTAACTCCTTTAAGATTCAAGTAAGAGTTCTTGAAGCTTTTTCACTTAAATTTAAATAAAACATATATGAGACAATTTATAAATGCAGATATTTGATTAATGTATGTTGATGCGAAACTTTGAATTAAAAAAAAGATGCAACTACAGACAAGCGAGAATTCTTTGCTACACCGAAAGCAATTTCAAGTGCTCTTTTTACGGATGAAAATATCGCTTTGATCCTTACGCGAGCAGTAGTAAAGATAAACCCCCGAAAATTAGGCCACCAGTTTAAGGTGCTCTCACACGATTCGATGGTCTCTATCGATATTCTAAGCCCTAAGCATCGTGCATGTGCGTTGGTCTTAATAATCGTGAGAACATTTATTTTTCGTAACAATTATGATTGATATCACGATACATTCACGCTGACAGCTCGCGAGCATATCAATGTGTTTACGGTAACGTTTGTCGAGCGAGCTTAAGAGCGAATGATTTGTCGCTACGTCATACGCAGTGGTGGCTGATGACTACCAGGACGATTCGCCCATTATGTATCGTGACAGAATTAGCGGGCAACCGAAATAATTTATAGCCAGACTTCATGTGCGTCGCGCTCTATCTCGTCTTTTCTCTCGCACCTATTCCTGTTCTAATTTTCCCTCCTTTTCTCTCTTTCGCTTTCTCTGTCTATATATATAGATAATCTCTCTCCCTCTTGTACTGACCCTGAAACCCACTATAGTTCATTCATTACGCCATAGTGCAATGGAATTCCTACGTCACGTACGAGTAACTAGAATATTCAGACCACATATATTAACTTTATATACATTAAGAATAAACATGTATATATACCCTATTATATAGATAATTAAATTATAAATATATATGCAAGAAATTTAAAAATTTTTCCAAGCTAATTTCATGGAATATTCTTTACAAGATCTTAATGCGTTAAAAATAAATTTTGTAACAAAATTTCTTTCAAACATTTTCCCATTTAGATGCAATATTATTTGAAAAAAAATATTTGTCAGTTTTAAGCAAAATATTTTCGCATTTTTCTCGTGCAATATTCCTTAGATTTTTTATCGAAATTCTATATTAATAAAATTTTCACATATACCTATTACCTTAATATAGTTCGTTACTATAATCACAAAATATATAGATATATCATATACATTGACGTCATTGAAGCAATTGCTTAAGGATCGAAATGGATTTGCTCGTCATAAACTTACTGATTTATGTCCTCATCGTTTAATACTGGTGGTTAATAGTTGAGGTTTTTACTCATTTAAGGGTCGATGGCACTATATAACGTCGATTAACTTTAATTGTAGTTTAATCAATTCTTTCTTTCATTTTTTTTAGATACTAGCACTGTGATGTAATATAGACAAAAAAAATTGAGTATATATGAAGAAAAAATTTTCATCCCATTTTCTAACTTTATATTTCTGTGTATAATTAAAGCTTTTTATAATTATCTTATTATGTTATAATATATATGTATTTTAATCTTTTATTTTTTTACACATCTTCTCTTTAAATAAATTTTAAAGAGAATATTTTCTCTTATTCGCGAGAATAAATAGGACAACTGGTGCCTAACGAAGTAATCCGTTTAATCTCAAATTCTTCCAGGCTAACGCACACATATAACCCGAGGCATCTATAAATCCGCTCACATTTACAGAAGCGTCATGTATGTTAAAATAAATAACTGTGTATACTGTAAATTTCAAAGTGTGAAAGGTAGCGCAGTTTGTTTTAATTATTCGCACGTTCCCGTGACTTCTACGTTATATTTTTCAACGATAAATCGCATTCTTCTTGCGTCATAAAAGGGCCGCAAACTTCATCAGCAAAAAATAAGCTCGTATTAGAAGTCCTGATCGAAATTTATCACGCCAAAGATGCGGATCTCAGACGAAGAATTATAAATTCAACAAGGAGATTCCAGAAGCAAATAAAATTCATATAGGAAAATAGTTTGATAACTTTGAAATACTTTAAAATATAATAAAAAACAAACAAAATTTCACATATTTTTATCACAACTAAAAATAATTGAAGTTTGTGTTTATAACTTTTTTAGTACATATAAATGTATGTTAATAAGAATTACATACACACAGTGCGGATATAATTTCCTAAATCACAATTCAATTTTTTTTTTAATTTATATGAAAATTGCAATGTTTCAATCAATAATTTCATCTTTTTTAAATTGATAGAATCATAACGAGAATGCAAAAACTATCGAGAAATTTTATCCAATAAAACTATCAGTGCAATTTAAATTTGGTTGAGAATGATTCTCGTTGTGGAAGTTATATCTATTCATTAACAACTTGATTGTTCTGACAATTTTTCCGTTTCCTCGTAAATTACGCGCTCTTGGAGGACAACACAAACGTCAGCGTGAATCATTTATTATTAAACTGTAAATGCGTTGTCTCGCGAGATTCGACGAGTAATATCGTCGCTTTATATCAACGCACTGTCGGAATTTTTCCCCTCAAGATTTTGCTAAAAACTCTTCTCGACCCTTGTTCTTCCTTCCCTACATAAAAAAACAACCCTTGTTTTTTCGCGGCAATTCAATTTTCCTTCATGCAATCGTCGCCCTTTTTTCGCTGAGAATGATAAAGATATAGGCGATAAAACTTTAGCTTCACATATTTGGTTAAGAAAAAAATAAATAACAAGAAATCACTAGTTTACCAACTACTATCGATTGTCTATAACTCAATTAGCGTAGTATATCTTGTTTAGCATGTGTCAACAAATTAGCATCAATGACACATCGATCAATGCATTGTACATATACCTACATATTTTTCCGATGATATTATATTCAAAGCAATTTGTGTTTTATAACATCTATACGTTTATTTATTCATTTTTAGATGTGCATAACTATTTATATTATTTCTAATATGTCTAATATTTACTTTATAGACTGTTAACATATGCGTATATGCTGCAAGATTCCTTGTGTGTGTATATATGTGTGTATATATATATATATATATATATTATATACACAATAATTTAATTTTATTTGTATTCTTTGAAGACATTTTCATGTTAAAAGATAAAATAAGATAAACAGAATTCTTTTTCAAATATTCGAAATTATCATTTAAAATACGCTTTACTTGTAAATTATATAAAAGCAAAATAAATAGTATTTTTCTTTTCTCTTTCTTTCTTTGCTTATTTTCAAGATATTATTAAACTAATTTAAAACATTACATCTCGCAATCGCAAGCAGTAAGAAATGTAAAAATAATTTCCAACATATATATTCTATATTAGCATAATATTAAATATTCTTTGGGACATATTATTCTTAGGGCTTTGAAAGGTTTCAGGAGACATAAGGCGATGACAGATGATAGCACGTACAATATTCCGGTCTCGTTGGCGGACATGCGGAATTATATATCGGAAATTGGAGCCTGATATTCAAACGAAGTATGTCAGGGTTTATTACGTGCGAGGCCATCATGCAGTGCGATCATGTCACTCTCGCGATTCTTCGTTCGATTATAATTTATCGAGCACACAGAAAACGAGTTAACTCAAGTAGCTCCAAGCTAGTCTATGCTCAATCTACATAATTATTGTGCAGTTCCGCAATATCAATTACAATAATAATACAGAGCAATTTTTTTATTGAAATCAAATCCAGTTTTTCTAAGTAAAAAGGAAAGGCATACAAAACATTTAATATTCAATAAAATTAAAGAGAATATATAGGTATTTAATATTTAAAAAAAGATAGCATCAAACACTAATTTATATGGGCTATTGTTATTGTAATTTTCGGGATACATAATTTTGACGGATTAAACATTTCCACATTTCGAAAGGAAAAATGATTGATTAGTGTTGCAAACGGGAAAATTTGAGGCACGCGCCTCGCTCGATATTTTGGCTCAATGTGTGGCCAGCACGCGAAAAACATATGGCCCACATGTGGGATACAATGCGGCATCTGCAAACGAAAAAACTTAAGGATGTTTATAAAAAACAAATGCAGTGAGGATAGCAATGATTTTTAAAACTGAGAGTTCCATACATTTTCCATTCATTGGAACAACGTGATGATGCACTCTGCTTTTTTGTATTATCTTTAATCACGACAGATAATGATAAAAAGCAGTTTCATCAACGTCGAGACTAATCTATATTTCTATCAAATGAGAGTTTTTTCAACAAATGTTATCATCATTTTATTAAAAAAAAAAGTTCATTTAGATTTTATATTAGATCCAACAAGTTAATAAATTAAATATATTCCTTGATCTTCTCATGCATATTATTTTCTAAAAAAAATCGTTATATATAATAACATTATATGTTATTTCTTTAAATGTTTATATTTTTTTATTATAAATAACGTAGAGTAAATTTTGATGCAATTTATTTTTGTTATATATGTATGTGTTTCCAACTTGCGCAAAAAATTAAACAGAAAAAAAATAATATTTGAAAAGATGAATTAGTCTAAAATCGGCGAGATTTTACAGGTGAGTATGTGAATTCGATAAAATTCGCAACCGGCTGCAACCCCTTCCACCCGACTCGGCGGAGAGGTTGCAGTCGATGTTGAAGCCGACGTGACGCGCGCGAGCGTCGGAGGCCGCGCTGATCAGTCCGCGCGGGACGCTCGAGGAGCGAGGATCGTGTTCACGTATTGCCTTGCTCTCTCGAAATCTCTCTCAGGTGCGTCGGATAGTAAACGCGAGGCGAGAGAGAAAAGCAGCGCTAGTTTTCGCGCCCGAGTTCCGTAGAATCCAAGATTGAGAGAAGAGACGAAAAACGGCGGCGATCATAGAGAAGAATTTTTTGCGGGACGACCGGGACTCCGGAAGTTTTGAAGCACAGATGGTGAGAGGTGAGGAAAAAACGCGATAAAAGTATGTTCCCTTACGTGCATTTCTCTATATGTCTCTACGGATGAAATATATAAGGGCATTTTTGCAAGCGATCGATCGATCTCCGAAGAGGGACTCCCTTAGTCATTCTTACCTACCCTTAATAGAGTCGAACAGATGTTGAGGACGATGATGGTCTTGGATCGGTCGCGTTTCTCGCGTGCCAAACGAGAGCGCGGGTTAAGGCTCGTTAATTGCGAATTTTAATCTATCACGTTAATCAAATTCGAGCGAGATGAGTCGGTTCAACGTGTGGTCGGGAAATGGGAAAATGTATTCCAATTTGTGTGACATGATGTGTGGATTGCGAGATAATTTTACACTTTCGAGCAATGTCGAAATTAACATTCGTTAAATCCTTTAACTATTAATTCGTTGAATCGGATTATATTCACTTCGTATATACGAAACAGAACACACAAATTATTGATAATAAAATTAGACTGATGCAATAATAATCCATTAATAAATTGGATATGGAGAAATTACATAATTAATATATTATTTGTAAATCAGTTTTACAAGAAAAATCAATTGCAATAAGAAAATTCAACTGCGAGAACAAATATTTTCTTTTTTTATATTTTTTTAAGAGACGGTTCCAGTCTCATAAAAGTCTCAAAATGATGAGATTAATTTATTGTATTTTAATCAACTTCGAAAATTAATTAAATCAATTAATAAACAATACTCATTGAATATATAAATAATACTATTGTACAAATAATTGGAGTAAAAGTTCAATCAATGGTAAATGATACAAAAGAAGAATTATTTTTATAATGTTTATAATATTTGCGTGATATATTTCTTCCTTTTGTTTGAATTTGAAACTACAGCTACTACTATATACGGCTCACTGCGGCTCGAAGGGATTGAAATGTTTTGTAACGAAGCGAGAACGTAATCGTCGCTATTCGATTAACGATGAGAAATGGTACTCCCGAGAGAGTATTTTGGTCGTATCTCAAATGAAATTTAAAGCCCCGACTACGTAGCGATCGATCCCATTCAAATTTAAGTTCCACCTTAAATTTAATCTTTCGCACAGACTGACTTATTAGTTTCGTTTGACGTAAGGCGGCCGTGGAGCTGGAGCAAAATTTGCTCGACTGCTCAATTGGGCGTGATGAATAATTGATTTCAAACTTAAGTCGGGACACGGGTGAATCGGAAATTTTCCTTCGATAGGTATATTCCCATTCGCCATTTCCTGGAATATCCAAGCAGTCGAAACGCGATAAAGAGCTAAAAATGTTCTATTATAAGAAAATCTGTCGTTTTACTCGATTATACAGAATAATAAATGACATGTTTGTTTGATTTTACTGACAAATAGTTTTTAATAGATTTATATATCATTTTATAAATAAACCGTAACATCTCATGCGCTTTGTTCAATAAATAATTAATCAATCTTTTATAGACTCGGTTGGTATTTTTTTTACAATTTATATATTTCTTATTTCTCAGTCAAATATTTTTTATTCAGATACCAATTTTATCGAATAATTTGAAGATGTAATTAATGAAAATGGCGTATATAATTACATCCTGAATTCAATAGAAACAATAACGAGGTATCCAGCACAAAAAATGTTTGATCACAACTGATCAGTATCTACTTAAATTACATATTCATCTTATTTCACTTGCTGTATTATAGAGAATGAGATGTATTATATATGTAAAAATATATATGAATACTAATAAATATAAATAAATCTAAAAATAAATTCATCTCTTATATAAGTATTTTGAAAGAAAGAGAGAAAAAGAGTTCTATTAGAATAGTGCACTTTTATTTCTTTTCTTATTTTATCAATTATTTTATTTTATATGACAAATTTTATACGATAAATTATTTCCTTTTCTATCTCTTTCTGCCTGCTTCTTCTTAAATTGTTTTTTTTTCTTTCTGAAAAGTCGGAGTTCATCTCAGGATAATAATAAATTAATTTCTTTTTTTAATTCTTCTTCTTCCATGCCTTTCTCTTATTCCCCCCTCTCTCTTTCTCTATCTATCTATTTATCTATCTTACTCTCTTTCTACACCTGTTCACCTATATACGCAAATTACACTTTCCGCGTGCCGGACGAGAGTGTCAGTCGCGAAATGAGCCTGTCGGTCTTTCCGCGAGATCCGGCATGAACGACGTTTAAATTTACATTGGCGTCGCGAGAGACCAAGAAATCAGCCGGCTGTCGTACTGTGCTTAAATTTAAATTTCCCTCGAATTTTGAGTGATGCGATTGGATCAAATTGCTCCACTCAACCGCAACATAACGTATATTTACCCCATTAACAAAATCGGATAGATATGTTGCAACTGTGTGTACCTAAGAGCTTGACGATCGTGTGGTAACATAACCAGCTGTCGTTTCGCTCGTTTTGTGCCTACACTTTTCTTTATAATCTCTTACAATTAGTATGTATATGTAATAAAGCTAATAATTACCATAAAACTTTTGAAAATATTTTGCATCGTTATTATTTAATCATCAATTTTTATTTTTCTACTTGATTCTTATTTAACTCTGCCAAACTCCTTAATCTATGCATAATCAGATTAAAAATTAATTTTCTGCTATTTTTAAAATCATTCAATTAATTAATTTTATCAATATACTTCAAAATCATATTTATCTTCATTTCTCACGTACTGATTTTATTTTTTTTTTGGTTTGTTATATAAAAATATGTGCATTTTTTATCGATTAATAACATCAAATTACACAAGATGACATATAATAAATAAAAAAATATATAAAGACAACATATCAATATATCAATATAAAAATTCTATATATACGTGTGTGTGTGTGTGTGTATAAATAATTAATATGTTATTTTATTATTATATGACAAAATAGATTAAGAGAAATTATCGATCTGAAGAAGTAATATTTTTCACAAGTTACATTTATCAACATATCCTATGCGATAAATTTAGACACAGTCAGCAATAAAATATAATTCGATTGACTGTATACTTCACGCAATTGAAGGATTTAAATTTGTTCTTTCTCGACGTGTGCCAATTCTGTTGTTATGTAGCAAAGCAAAATTCGTTGTGCAAGATCCCGAGCACATATTGGCAATCGCTGAACAATAGCAGAACGCTATTCAATTGAGTCAGAAGTGTCATTATTACCGAACGATAGCTTCTTGTCATCACATTACTGTCAGTGAATTCGTCCGTCGATAAGTTTTATGTCAAAAATAAAATAAAGATTTCATTAATGATAAAAAAATTATATTATTCTATCTATTCTTTATCTCTTTTTTCTCTACCAATACAGAAACGATATATTTCAACAAAAAATAATAATACTTATTATTAGTTGTAAAAAAACTATATTTTTAATAACATTAATTAATTACATTCTGCATTTTAAAATCATTAATTAAAATTTTTTAAATTAATAATATATTCTTAATATTTGATGTAAAAATATATCTTTATACTAGAAATATTTAAAAAAATAGACTTGTATATAAAGAGAAATATTTGCTGATTAAAATATTAATTAAAATATTTCTATTAGTATATTTTTCTAATATTATCTTTCATCTATATTTAATGCACAATAATATTATATTAGAATAATAGAAAATTTGCAAACATAATTTGAAATAATCTTAAGTAAAAACTAATTGTAAGTATCGCAGTTTATACAGCGCATAAATACAAATACATTTTGTGTGAATAATGTGCAAAAATTTAAAAGTTTCTAGAAATAAAAAAAATTGTCGAAAATAATATTTCCGTGATCGACAAAATTGATATTAGTATTTGATTTTGGACCGCTTACGTGGAACTATTTAACAAAAGATCATTGTACGTTACGCTAATTAAGTATTGTATTAATGAAGCAACGTAAGAGATTGTTTACGAGATCAAGGTTTCATTAAATCAAAAATGTCTAACGAGAGATGTATGTTAGATATGCTTAGTTACACATATGTTATACATAAGCCTGATTCGATAATCATATACTATCTCTATTTTGTTATACTGCTTCTAATTGTGTTTGTTATTTTGTAAATATTTTATTGACTAATGAATTCTTAATTAATATCTATATTAATAAAATTATACAAATTAATAATAATTTTTAATTTATCAATTTAATTTATTTTTTAATTTATCAATATTTTATTTAAATAATATTTTTAGTTTATTATCTTACATAGAATTTTCTTCATATTATTTTGCATTTTCAGTCTACAATTCCTAACATTAATTTACATTTCTGATTGCTGGGTAACTCAACATTGCAAGAAAAGCGCGCGTATCATGTAAGGATTATTCATGACAATCCATGTTCTGATGTATCTGTATGACGCGTAATACAGAAATCGATATTAATTATGGTATTTGTATGCACATTATATGGTTCGCATAATGCTGCACGTAGGTCGTGCTAGATGTTTTTCATAAGTCACGCGATGAATGTGTTTCTCGACAGATTTCAAACCAACTTGTCATTAAAATTAAAATCTAAGCGGAATTATATGCAACAAAAAGTCCTTTTGCAATTAATTGTAAAAAAGTTTACTGCAGCAAAAATTTAATTTTTAAGTCTCTTAATTATACAGAGATGCTTATGAATAAAAATTAAAAAGTCAAAACGCGAATACAAGAATAACGGAGATTCCGTATACCAATTATTTCGCTCTACATCAACCTAAAGTTCAACGAAAAAGTTGTAAAAAATATTACTGCGTAATTTTCATGTATGCAACAATCTGTATAGTGATGACCTTTCGTATTCAATTCTGCTCATTAATCCATCAGGATCACGTTTTCGCTACATTAATTAATACATATGATTGCCATCTAATCATCGAAAAGGTCAACTCTCCCTTTCTCCCTATTCACTTGAATTTTTATCACTGCCTAATATTAACAGTTTCCGAATCAAAATTAATTACGTAATTAATTATATAGCTATTAATATAATTTTTAAACAAATTGATATTTGAGATTTAAATCGTATAACGTATGAAGAATAAAGACTTCGATAAAAAAACTTCATTAAAATGAGTCTGCTATCTTGCAGTATTTATAAAAGCTATTACAAATGTAATCTAGAATATAATTTCGAAAATATAAATAAAAACGTATTTGCAAAATAAATAAAAACATATTCTAATAAATATATATATTATATGTTACATACATATATATTGTATATATATATATATATACACATTTTCCATATATTATTTTTCTCGCATGTAAATTTAGCAACTGTTTCGATTAAAAGCAAAGATTAATGTGTGTATTATTAAAATAAAATTAATATATTCCTCTTAAATTTTTGCTCACTATCTTATTCCCTCGAAGTCGACAATTTACTCACTGATCTAAATGGAAAAATGCTCAAGGGATGAAAAGAATGATCAGGACGAGAACAACTTCCTCTCGAGGAAACGCTGTCGTGAATAGCTCGATATTACGCGCGACGGTCGATCGATCTTCATTAAATAGAGAGAAAGAGAGACAGGGTCTGCAATTTGCATAGAAAAATCGAGCGCGTGCAGGGCGCGTCCCATAAAAGATGAAAGAAGACGACGGTATGTCAGTGTCAGTCGACGGATGCACACTGCCGAGCGAAGAAAATCGATCTATCACGATCGAGACGTCACTCTCGACATTCGAGCAAGATGATCAACAATTTATAGATCGACCGACCACTCGCTCGTTTTGCCGGGAGGGTACCGAGTTCTTTCGAAAAATCTAAAAACCCGAACATTTCCACGTCTCGATTAGAAAATATCGATAGAGCCAGCCGGCATTGTCCATTTACTGTGCCAAAAAAAGGCAATAGTTATCTGTCTAATAGTATGCGCTCGATATCGACCTGTCGCGAGACTAATGTAAAGCGAACTAATTTTAACTTATTATAAGTTGTAAGTTTTACAGAACGTTATTATATAAAGCAAACAAGTTGCTGAAGAATAATTACGATACGATATATTTAGAAGTATCGTTTTTTTTCTTTTTACTCGGATTCGAGAATTGAAGCGCTTTTATTTCCAAGCCGAATTGTTGTATTTCATATTTTTAGAAAAATATGGAGATTATATATAAATGGAGATTATATATATATTTTATAAAAGTAACTGTGGAAAGCTGAAAAAACTTCAATCTGTTTTTAATGCGAATTGGAAATAAGCTCTTCAATTTTATATAACATTTGTTCAGAAACGTTTATTTTCTAAGATTCTCGATGCTGTAATTATTAGCACACAATTATGTAAGAAGTAATAATTTTCTCCGCAATATAGAATTTTAGAATAAAGCGTCATTGATATTTCAATAGAATTATTAGACATGAGCAATTACGTTCAGAATTTACAGTCTTCGAGCGAGACATGCCTCCGCGGACACACGTTTATTGTTTCCTGAATAAATGGGATACATCTCGCGCACGATAGTCTTTCTCAGAGACGCGTGACATCACCGATGAAGTATAGTTATGTCCTCCCATAGGAGAAGGACCTCATTGTCCGAACCCGAATTGCGACGACGTTGTCTCTGAGCGAATTACCGAGCGAATTTCGCGCGTCGTTAAGCCTTAAATACTGACATATTATCCGCGGCTGGAAATATGTAATGTTACCTCTGGGTTAACAAACGTGCACAGTGTCATAATTAGAATGCAGAAATACATTCTGCAGTTTCGTTTAAATTTAATTCAGATATTTTAATAAACGTATTTCCTGGTAAACGTTGAAAAATTTGAAAAATATTCGAAAGACAAAGGCAGAAAATTGTTTGCTAAAAAATTAAATGCTATTTACTTAATTTAATTGAAACTTCCTGTGATAAAAATACTGCTTGGTAGCTTGCTATCATTTATAATTATTATTTACCTTCCTCTTCTTTTGTATACATTTTTTGTATACTTCTTTATAATGTAAAATTAAAAATTTTTGAATATATCGTAAATTGAGTTTATTATGCTTACAATTAAAAATTAAAAGACGTTGTAGATTCGTTTCCTACTTGAGAATAACGGTTGGGTTGTTTTCTTTTTATCAAAGAGTAGTTTTGTTTCGCATGAGAAAACTCGCGGAAGATGAAGAGGGTCGTCCTCGTTCACGTTAAAGCGATTTGTAAAGAAAGTCATCTTGTTTAAGGAAACAAATGAGGACGGATGTAACGACAATGTAATAAAGCCTCGATATGCGAGGAAAAACTATAGAATTTTTTCTCAAGAACGATTACATGAAGACTAATGTCCTTCCGTTCATTCCAGGATCGTTACCTGATATCGCAGTGACGATGGCATCGGGCAGAGAAATCCACGGTGCTTTCAGGTAAGATAAACTTTAAATTATATATTATATATTAATTATATATTATAGTTAAAATTTGAATTCTAAAAATAATTTATAGATATTTTTCTGGTATTTTATCAGAAGAACTATATGCAACTCTATTCTAAACGAATAAAATGTGGATTTTTGCAACTAAATATTATTTTATTTATACTTTATACTTTTCACTCTCTAGATAATATAAAATGCAATTTTTTATAATTATATCCAACTTGCCTTGATTAATGTTTTCCGCGTTATTAATTCATTGTGTTTTCGTGTTTTCATTTTTCTTATTTTACGCATGCAGTCTTGCGCGAGTGCACTCGAGAAAAAAAAACGGGCACAAGATACACGCACCGCTGATTTCACCGCAGAGAACCCGGCTGGTAATTTCAAGGATTTTCGTGGGTGTATATTTCTCGACACGTGACCTTTAGAAATTCATTATTACGTGAAGGAATGAGAAATTAGTTAGCCATCTGTTACATCAATCTACAGCTCACGAATAGAATACAGTTCCCTAATAACAGATTTTTCGAAATACGCAAGTTTTTGAGTTGATTTCCAGTTAAAATTTAATAAGGAAATATCTTTTTCATGTATTCAAATGATATATGATGCACAGTAAAAACGATTTCGAACCTCTTATATCTCGTGACAATTTCTTAAAAAAAGATATCACGAAAACGTTTGGTCCAAAAAAGATGAATTATTTCTAATTTCAATATCCTTCAAAATATCCTTAAAATATTTTAATATCTAATATATAAATGTTGGAATAATCTTCAGAAATACTTTGTCTCTATTTTAATTTAAAATAGATCCAGTTTAAACAAAAAAATCGTAACAATTTAATTCTAATCGTATTCTATTTTCTCTCTCTAATATATTCGTTTGGAAAAATATATAAAAAAACTCATCTAGAATTCTATACACATGTGCACGCACGCATTTTTCACGCGACCTTTGCAAATTCCTGGCGTGGGTGTAGGTGAATAAGGTAATAGGACACTTTGACAGTATATCGATATGAGTTTCTGTTACATAAATAGAAAGCTTAAATATAATAGGATATCATTATTTTTGGTTAATAATGAATCAATATTTTACGATAAATCGATACTTTTACCGGTAAAATCAATATTACTGACATTACACATTAAAGTAAATTAAAAAGAAATATATGTTTCTGCATTGATAAATCAACAAGAAGCAATGTATATATTTCTCGTAAAATTTTGTAATTTTTTATTTTTAGCAATTGACTTAACTTCAAATAATTTGAAATATTTTCATAAAACAAAAATCTTTAATATCTTCATATGTATACTGAAAGCATCTTTAAAGTATCTTTATTACGATTTTAAAGCACGTTTCGTACTAATCAGCGTATTTTTGCCGGGCATTTAGCGCCAAATATAATTGTCCAATTCCTGTCTACATCATAGATGTGATATTCCACGAATAAACCTCGGCATTAGAACATGTCGCGAAATTCGTGATGAGAATGGCAAGTACGGATTTAGAGCAGAAATATCGATCGTTGTCTTCTCGCGGGGCGACAGCAACTTGAGAGCCAGGTAATTTTGAACTGTTTCGCGATAGCACACGACCGACTAGTAGTGAATGGAAGAAAAAGTGCCTTGGCAGTCGGTGCTAGCTGCGTGCGATCTTATTCTTAGCAACGTTACTTTATTTTTATTGCGCTTATAGAGCGCAATATCGATCGCTCTCGCGAGTTGACGTCGTTCGATTTGATAGACGTTCATAAGTAATGCAACGAGAAAGTAGTAGTACCGCGTCATAGACAGACGGCTGAATGAAGAAAAAAATGCAACGGAAGAGTATCTTTAATAGCTACAAAGTTACATTGCTTCTATACATGTGCTGTTTTAATCCTTTTTGCGATCTACTTCGCAATTCAAATTACATCACGAATATTGCAAAAAAAAAAAACAATAGAAATAATTATGTAATTTCAACTGTCTGCAATCTCGTGTAAAATGTTTTAGATTAGAAGCACATCTCTTCTTGCTTTAAAGAAATACGTAATGTATAAATGTATAAAAATAAATTATATTGATATCTTCTCTCTCTTTCTCGCTTCAATAGTTCATTAAATTAATTAACAAGCAATAAGCTATTATAATTGATCTCTAAAGAAAGAAACTTTTATTTTTGTACTTAATAAATGCTGAACTTATGTAAAAAAGTATATTTTAATAGTTATACCTGCGTAAAAGATATATTTGCTGTAACAAACAAATTAAAAAAAAATCTCAAAGTTCAATTTTCCAAACGTTTAATTCAAAACCACGATGTTTCATCAGGGAGTCGCTATATATGTACTTCCGATCGTAAATTAAATATCCAGTGCCTGGCAGATGCGGAAATATTTTTGGTGTACGTAATAGCGCTTTTAAGCTCCCTCGTGAATTCGGCAATCGATATACTCCGGTGACTCTCTCGCGAAGTTCGACCAACCGGAGATTGGAAAGTTCCGCACTAAATTTCGCTCGAAATGCAGCCGGTTTCGCTTTTCCCGGTTGGATACCGATCGTTCATTCATGCCTGGACGATCCTCGCTAAGCTACTGAATCCTTGATATCACGTTTAAGACGTCGTTAGAAAATTATGATAGAGAAAGAAAGGGAAGAAAGGACAAGGGCAGAGTTTGAAAGATACCAGAAGAATCGCATCGCGTTCCCCATCGAACTGTTCGTTAAACAATGCGAACCCATTATCGAGTTTATCACAAAAAATAAATTGGATCGCGTCCTCTCGTATCTCTGGATCGCATTTTCGCATCTGCTCAAGCGCAATCAAGCGCCATTCACGCATCTCCTCTTTCCTATTCGGCGTAATCTCTCGAATAATATCCGAGCCATTTGTCTTTAAAGCAATGCGAGAAGAATCTTTAATGTGGCAATGCACGATATTCTCGATGTTGTCTCGATTTAGGCAAATCAGAGTTTAATATTAAAGTACAATAAAAGGCTAAAAAATAAATCTTTCGAAAATTAAAAAAAGTAGTGTACACTTAATAAGTCGAACTCATTAAGATTCAGCAAGATTAAAAAAAAAAAGATTTTGAAATACTTTTTTTAATATACTTAAATAATCCCGCACCGAAAAAAAAATTTTGTTGGATTAACAAAAATTCTGTTCGAAAATGGACGAAACGGAATTCTGGTTGAACCACCAACAAACTGATTTGTTGTACAAACAAAATGCTTGTTGCATTAAAAAGAATTCTGGTAGATGTTTGTTGCATTAAAAGGAATTCTGGTAGATTCAATCAGTAATTCCGTTTCATCCATTTTCAAACAGAATTTTTGTTAATCCAACAAAATTTTTCTTCCAGTGCGTTCGTACGTGCGTCATATGTGTAGATTGCGATTTCCGAAAAATCAATACTTTTCCGCGGCAACACGCGGTTCCCGGCACACCGGTGACGTAATGCCTGACGCAAGCGACAATCGTTGCGGCCGCGATGCCGCAGAGAGGCGAACGTCGATAGTACACCGGACGTCATGAATACCTTTAACTTCCTCGGATCAGTATTTTTTTTGAATGAGTGCATCATACTTTAACGTAATGTTATTTGATGATAATTACATATATCATCGTTATTTTTATGAAAATTGCTCGTGTGACAAAATAACTTATCACATGGAAGGTAGCGAATTTCGCAACGATATGTCATATCACTCGATATGTTTGATTGACATACAACAAGCTATACAAGTATAACTTGGAATAATCTTTATATAAATAGTTTGCTAAATTATATATAGAATTTGTGGAATAAAATTCCATGATATTTCGAAAGAGCTAATTCGATTGCAGTAAGTAAATTCAGAACAGAACTACTTCTATAAAAAGATATAACAATAAAAAATCAAACGTATTAAACTGACTTTTATCGTCAGTCTAAATTGCTCCGTGAATCTCCGTCGATTATTTTAAACTAATTTTTCGAGTAAAAAAGTTCGATATAATTTTAGTTAGAGTTTTTTTTACATACAACGACCCGCGAAAGATTTGCGAAATCTCGCGCCGGTCGCCACGGCTGTCGTCGATTAATCTCTCTGTTTCGATCGTCGCCCTCTGCCCTTTCGCCGTTCCTTCGACCCCGTTCTGCCGCTGCGGCAACGTGCCATGAAAATGGTCTGTGATTACCGCGGTAGCAAGCATTCGCGCTGACGAGGCGAATATTCCGTCTTCCGTCCGCGCGCTATCCTTAACCCGCGCGAAATTGATTTCGCCACTCCGCCGCTCGTCTCTCGGGTGAATACCCGCCATTGTGCGAAAAGTAGGTAACCGTCAGAAAGATCATACACATATATACACACGTAAAAATACATAATACGTTCGTATTTTCCCATTTATAGCATTCTCGGAGAACGCAACACGATTTTCGTATCCTTGCTCTGAACAAGTATTTCGCGTCAAAACAAATTTATTTTCATTATTCTCAATCACATCATGATATTCTTAGGGAATCTGATATTAATGCTATATAGAATTTAAATCTTGATCTTTGAGTTTTTATTGAAAAAAATATCGGAGCTTGACGGTCAGCAATCAAAATATAGAAATGATTATTCCTATTTCAACACTCGTGTGTGCATATATTAAATTTTTCATCATTTCGAACAAGTATCTCCAAAAAGTCCCTTATAAAATTTTTCGCAGCCCTTTCTCTCTATATGAACTAAAAATATATCGCTCACATTTTATCTCTCGCAAAAGTCCATTCGATTCTCATCAGGAGGGATTTTCGCCTCACAGGTAATCCTATATCAATCCTCGTCAATAAGCATCGGCAAAATGAAATTTCGATATATAAATCGGCCACACGAGAGATCTCGCGGGTATCTTAATGCTTTCTCTTTGCGCGCGATAACGCATTCGCCTTTTCCGCCGGTGATATCAGCAATCCGGCGAAAGAAGCTCGTAAATCCGAGCGTAAACAACGCCCTAAAACACGAATGTGTGTTGGAGAGGGATAATTCTAGATTCGATTGTGCCGCGATCCAACCATACATATATATAAATATATATATATATATGCGTATGTGTGTATTGTATATATGTATATATGGCGATGCGGAGCATGTGTGCAACAAGATACCAAAGCCTGTAAACGAGACTTGGGATACATAGCCGGCTTTCGGATCGATACTTGCCGTCAACATTTTCGCGAGTACGAACTTTGCGAAGGACACGACGAGGCAGAAGAAATCATCCTATTCGACTGACATCTCGCCGCGCGAGGAACGCGACGACAATAAAATTCTCGATGCAATTTTTTTCCTATTCACCGAACCCGCCCGAATGATGTCAAGAGCGAGGAAATTTCGAGGAAATGCAGGCGAATCATTTTTGCAATTTATGTCTGTGCAAATAACTCTCCTTCGATGCATCTCGAGTCTTTCATCGAGGAAAACGCGATGGGAAATTCTTTCATCCGACATATCGCGCATATGAATGTAAAATAATTTTCAGAAAGTAATTTATATATTAATTTATATATTGGTTTATATACGTATATATATATATATACATATATATGATTGTGCATAATGTTACTGCGTCCGATCAGTTATCATCGAGTATATCGAGATATACACGATAGAAGTCGGATTTTCCTCTGACGTCGATAACAGATATGATAGGGGTTTACGTGCGTTTCAGCTCCCGCACGGAAACAATGAGCCCTCGAGCCCCTCGAGATATGTTATACACCCTATACGTCCGCAAAAAAATCAAATGAACATGGAAATATATTAGGCGGCTATATTGAATGTCATTCTATAATACGCAAAAATGGGGAAAAAAGTAAATTCAAATCATGCAAATTTAACATAGCGAAAATAATCAGCGATTGTTCCAGCTTTCAGATATTATATGTGTGGCATGTGTGTATAATCGAATAAATGATGATTATCATTCTTGCACTTATCATCTCGTTTTTTATAAATGATTAACATTTTTCTGACCGCATCTTTTTTGGCAATTTAATTATTGTGACTAGAGTAAAATTACCGTTATCACGTCGCGCTTATTTCTTTCCAGTCTGCGGCAAATGTGTATCGAATAAAATATAATTATCATTCTTGCACTTATCATTTCGTTTTTTATAAATAATTAACATTTTTCTGACCGCATGTTTTTTGGCAATTTAATTATCGTGACTAGAGTAAAATTACCGTTATCACGTCGCGCTTATTTCTTTCCAGTCTGCGGCAAATGTGTATCGAATAAAAGATAATTATCATTCTTGCACTTATCATTTCGTTTTTTATAAATAATTAACATTTTTCTGACCGCATCTTTTTTGGCAATTTAATTATTGTGACTAGAGTAAAATTACCGTTATCACGTCGCGCTTATTTCTTTCCAGTCTGCGGCAAATGTGTATCGAATAAAAGATAATTATCATTCTTGCACTTATCATTTCGTTTTTTAAAAATAATTAACATTTTTCTGACCGTATATTTTTTGGCAATTTGATTATTATGACTAAATAAATAAAATGATCGTTATCACGTCGCGCTTATTTCTTTCCAGTCTCATCGTGGACGACGTGGATTCGCAGTCGATCCTCAGCGACGGCTCCGACCTGGACGGATTGTCGCGCGAGAGCAGCTCGCAGAACTCCGCGTCGCAGACGCCGCTTGACAGTCCCGGTGGACCACGCGAGAGGATCAAGCAGATCCAGGTTGAAGCCGAGACCAGACGGGGCGAGTTTGCCAGGCTGCTGGAGGAGCACGCGCAGGTGGTGCGCAAGCTGAAGATGATGGAGGCGGAGGAGCAGCTGTCGACGACGGCGACCGGAAACGCGACGGTGATCGGCGGTGCGCACGCGTGATTTTACGGTTTTTTTTACCACCGCCGTCGCCGCCAGGACGAGGGTGCCATCGAGGGTTGGGACCATCGCGTCGATCACCGTACGACGACCATCACCACCACCACCACTTCACCGCGTTTCTCCCTCGACCGCAAAACACCGCGATCTGGATAAGTCGTCGCGATTTGCGAGCAAAATGATGCGAATATCGTTGGACGTCTGGATTATTGACCCTCGGATGTGCCTGTGCGAATGCAAATGCGAATAAGGTTTGTCGGGGGATGATGGATGCTGCATCCGAGAGTTAACTATGAGGGAAAATGAGGAAAGGGGATATGAATTCGAGAGGACTTCTCTTGCTGTTTTAATTTTTCTATTACGTTATTTTGTTTCGCCGATTTTCGCTTCGGGTTAATTCGATCATGCTTCGTTTGGAAATTAAAAGCGAAAATAAATCCTAAACAGTATAAAAGGAATCTAAAAGTTTCTTTATTATTTCGTGATGGATTATAGCAATAAGAAATAATGATTATTTTTTTGTATATATATTTTCTATTTAAAATTTTTATATTTAATAAATTCAAATCTAAATTAAATTTAAATAATTAATAAAGTTTCTACGAGATTGATATACAATATATAAATGTGCATTTATGATTGCAATGTGTTATATTGTATTATTATAAGCATAATATTAACATCTCACAATACTTTACGTCTAATTAAAATATTTATACTATTTGAAATCTGAGATGCGTCATCGAGAACTCACGCTGAAAATTTCATGAACCAACAATGTAATACGTATAAATTCGAGAGGTGCTTTTTCGTCTTTCATCCGATTTTACGAGATCGAGTTAAAGCGAGCCCGATCGATCATGGGATCAGAAAACCGAAATGATAATCAGGCTCCTACGATGAGGATCATCCTTGTTTAACCCTTGTTTGCAACAAAGTCTGAATAAAAACCACTAGACACGACAATAATGAGGAACACTTTTAAAAAAGGAACGTGCGTGCGAAAGCCGCGATCGCGTTATTTATTCACACAACGCGTGGAACAAGAAACTCCCGTTCGAACTAGCTCAGCAGCAACGGCTGGCCTAATAAGCGTAGTACAAATTTTGCAGTGAAGTCTTAATAGAAAAAAAAGAAAAAAATTCCAGGTACGAGTGTACCGTGAGAGTTTCCGATATAATTCCAAAGATTTGACACGGTGACGATAATCGTGCCGACATTTGCGGCGGAAACGCGGATGTTGGAGTAAATACATACATGGTGTCGTACATGCGAACACACGTATAGCCTACTCTCGAAACAATGGGGTGTACAAGCTTCTACGCGCGTTTTATAGTATCGTAGAATTGAGTGTTCCATAAGTGTAAGCTAGTTTTGTATATCGTAAATATATATATAGATATATATACATGTGTATGATAAAAAGCGCGGGCTGCTGAGTCTGACGATAGACGCACTCTTTTGTAAATAGATTTCTTTCCATTACATATAATATATATAACAAGACTCGACCGATCGATCCTCACCGATTAATCCTGATTAGCGATCTTCCATCTCTTATATCGAAATTTCAGCTATATAATTACGAAAATTAAATCGTAATTTAAGAAAACCGCAACTAAATTTTTTCTCGCGGATAAAATCTTTGTCACAGCAAAGTTTTATTTTGAGTTTAATTATCACTGTTGATGTTAAAAATTAATAAAAAATATTTGTTAAAAGTATTAAGTTTATAAAAAAAAATTGTATAAGAAAAATATATGATGCGTAATTAAATACTAATTACGATAGAATTTTTTTCTCTTGTAAATATTTTATAATTAAAATATGTAATGTCTGGAAAGGATATATTATGATTAAATCCATAGAAAGGAGATATTATAATTAAAATGATATAATAATCCCTAAAAAGGAATAATAAAAGAATTGATTGAAGATTAACTAATCTATTATCGGTGCAATTGGATCAAAAATTCGTGAGGCTTGAGCAAAATCGCTAGAGCCAAAGGAAAAGATGCGTCTGAAAAAGTGATGTTATTTAATTTCGCTGTTTCATTCCTAATATTAAGGAGTTTATATAAAATACGGGCTGAATAGAGAGAGAAAGAGAGACACAGAGAGAGAGAGGATCAACGATGCTCTTCTAATTTTCTACATGTGCTACGTCAGACCGGTATCCAAATGACATAGGTATTATATATATTAGGCATTTATAGACTTATATATATATACATACTTAAAGAGAGAAACACAAGTATAGACCTGTGTTAAAGTAAATAATCCTAGTGTAGAGATGTCTATTATTATACACAGTGATGCCAGTCTACGTCAGTAATCAGAATATTTTTCTGCTTAAATTAATTCTTAAGATGTTATATGATAAAGTAAATATCTTTTACCGCACGATAATATCTCCATGTGAAATATTAATTGATCTTTCATGTGTCAATTGAGATGGTAATCGCTCACGTTGTATTTTTCTCAATAAAGTATGATTGATACGGAGATATAGAATAGTAAAAAAATTATTAAGTCAATTCTTATAAAACTCTTCAGATTTTCAAGATATATTAAAAAAATTAATCAAATTCATTTTTATAGGAGTTATATAATGATATATGTAAATAATTTATTACTCCTTTATAAATAGATGCGTGCGATAAAAACATTGCGAGAGATATTTTGATCGCTACAACGTCGACTGGCTGTGTAATTTAAGAAGACAGTCCTAGAATACGTAATAAGGAATAGACAGGAATGATTTTAGCTGCTCAGAAATGTAAAATGCTTTAAAGGAAATTTCGCGAAAGAGAGTGATACTGCGTAAGGCAATAATTTCTTCAACATATACTCGGGAAAACTACGAAGTAATATTAGGCACAGATGCGAAACGAGAAATTTGCATTATTTTTGCTGCTGCAAGATATCCTATATACGATCGTTACTATTACGTTAAGAGAACTGCAGATTATATACATAAATATTATCACCATGTAGTTTTTACTCATACTATTATTCGTACGACTGCATGTTAGAGACGGCTATATGATAAACATATTTATCAGATTTGTAATGAAATGTTGAGAAAATATGTGATTTTAATTTCGTGCAAAATAAATTGCGAGTAAAAAAACGTGGTCCGATAGCAAAGTCTTTATCGGTTCTGCTTTCTATCGCTGCAATAAAAAACGGCTTTTTGCGAACCAACAAAATGCAATGTAATATTATACCACGCCGATTTAATGTTAACGTAATTGAGATTTATATGTAAATTTTGACTGTATTATCGTAACATGCGACAGATACGCGTACGACAACACGCTGTTAAGTTTTATTAAGGGAAACCGCTGCTTGACTAATTATTTATATAGGCTCATGTTGTGTATGCGAAATAATAATGTATGTAAAACGATGGTTGCTACTGGAAAAAATATATTTTATTGAGTTGACAATGGATATTTGTATTCTCTTTTGCAGCAACCGCTTTTTTCCATTTTTATTTTAAGCGCATAAAACTTTTGTTTCACGTATATGTTAGTGAACATAAAATAATTTTTTAAAAAGAATATATTTAGTTGAATATATTATATTATCGACCGATACAATAATACATGTGAGCAACGCGTTATATGGTAAGTGTTATGCAGCGTCTTTTACATTGTTGTCTCGGATCTATTATTTACAATTATATCTATAGAGATATACAATTACATTTAAAAATATATATACGCGAAGATATAAAAATAACATATTCTTTACATACCAAGATTATACGTTTTAAATATATGTGAAACAGAAATGACTTGTTACTAATTGCGTAGATAGAAATATGTAGTTTGTAAAATATGTAAGATAATTTTTTTAACTTAAGTAAAAAGAAAAATATGTCTATATTGAGTACATTTCAATTTCATTCAAAGACATTATATCACTTAAAGAGTTAAATTTTTGGGCGATGCTTTGCAATCGACCAATATAATAATAATATGAATTATAAATAATTACATAATATATACATGGCAATATAATATCATAATTATAAATAATTATAAATAATTATAAATTTTGTTTATTGTTTCAGAAGGGATATGTCAACTTTTTTATCTTATGGTTCCATCGCTCTATGCTGAGATGTTAATAGCATTATTCTGTGACTTAGCTTTACATTGTGATCTCTCAAATATCTTATCAGATCTGCCTGTTTTTCCAACAATTCTTCCAAATTCGTTCCCCTTTGATGATAACCGACTTCTCCCATTCCTGCATAAGAATCCTGTGTAAAGGACGACAGCCATTCATCACGAGTAACGTCGGGCGATGGACGTAATTGATTGAATCTCATAACTATCTCTACACGAAAAACAAAATAGAATGAAATATAATTTGCGATTAAAGAAAGTAAATACAAATCTCCAGAGTTTTAGTATTAAACTTTATATTTTGAAAATGCTTCGACAAATGCCTAAATGAGTAAAATATTTCTATTTTTTAAGAAATATTGATGATGAAATCTCAAAATTATCTTTTCAATATATATGAAAGCACAAAATTAATTTTGCTAATAAACTCTATCTTCTTTATTTAACTAAATATTTTCTTTCTTTGCAAGATACTTACTAATATAATTAATATAAGATGGCACGATTATCAAGAGTTCCAAACTAGTTAGGACAAAAATATAATTAAGTGGCGTGAACCACTCTGATGCCCTACAGTATCGTTCATAATCGACTTTGTGCGTATGATGTAGAATTACAGCTAATAGCAAATAGCATGTATTCCACAATGATGTGATAAAAAGAGGCGTCCTTATAAGTCGATATGTGGTTTGATAGAAATCTAAGTATCCATCTATACGCAACTTGTGATGCCTTGCTTTGACGATGTGGTCTGTCACCATTACTATCAGCCAATAGGCACAATGTAAGTATAAGTATATAAAATATGTGTCACACTTGTTCTGCTCTTCTGGCCAGACAGACACAAATACAATCCCAACAATTTCCAATGAAATCTACAAAAATATTCGAATATATCCAACCATTAAACAAGCCTATAAGTACAGCAAGCGAGATATACCTACACTAAGCAAAAGTGGTATCGATACAATTGGCACAGTATTCAACTGCTGAAAAGTGTCCTCTTCTTGAGAGATCAAGATTGGTTGAAAAGATTGTTCTTCTTCCATTTTAACAGTTTGATAAAAAAACACTCATAGAATATATCCCAAACAGATTGCTACAAATTTAATAAACTTAATTCATTTTCTCTCTTATTGTTAGAATAAATATTATAACATACAGCTAATATCTTTATGAATAAAAAATTATCTATGCTTGCAGAAACATCTCGTAAAACAAATTCAATATATAAAAAAATGAAAATAAACTACTTAAAATATCAACAAAATACCTAACCTTTATATGTGCAGCTTCAAATTTTCAATTCTGAATTTTACAATCATATGAGTAAAAAAGACATGTCTCAATAGCATTAAAGTAAAAGAAAATTGAAAGAAATGTTTGCATCTGAAGAAAATGAGCTAAATTCTTAAGATATTTTCATAAAGATATTTTTTTCTATGTTATTCTTTTCTCGTTAACCTATTCTAAAGATTATTGAAACTTGAAATAAAACGTTTGAATTGTGAAAGAATATGATATTTACCTTGTATATAAAAATTAAAACATGACAAATGCGTTTTTAATCAAAGTATTGCTTGTCACTAATCGTAATCGACGTAAACACTCTTGACAATCATCAAGATTAAGTATATTACAATGTCAGATTCACATTCAGATGGAAAAAGGAAGAGTCGTCTCTAATCGAACACAGTTGATGCCATACGAAAGATTTCAATGTCATAGTCTTATTGTCAGATGAAAAAATGAATCACATTAAATACGCAACGCAGCCAGAAATGCAAGCAGCACTCGCGTATATATTTTAATGCAGTAAAGAATATTCATTGTGTCCAGCAGAGAAAAAAGGAAATATCGAAAAAAATAAGTTTGTGTTGTGATTAATTAAAAAAGAGTGGAAATAACACAAGTCTTGAAAATATAAGTATATTAATAAAAATAAAGTCGTCAGAGTAAAAAGATTAATTAATACGCGTCCAATAATAAACGCACTTGATAATGCGCCTAAGTACGAGTCTGGTAAAACAACCACGTGATCGTTTACAGATTAGGTTAGGATTAAATTCCTTAAAGTGGTGGGGTGAAAATCGTTTCTCCGTATGAATTAAAGCTTAGTTAGGTTAGGCTAGATTATGTTTATGTTCGCAGCGTCGAGCTGGCGACGAGCACGCGAGAAACTTGCGTATCTTATCGATTATATGATACAACGTACTCACTCATACTCCCGGAAGTATTCGAGTCCTGTACGAAGCGGTCCATGCTACACGATCTTGTCAAACACGGGTCTTTTCTACTTTCGTTTGCACGAACGATGCCATGCCATACTTTACTTCGCTTTAAATGCCGCGTTCGCGATGTCATTCATTCGAACAGTGACTGTCAACTACTGTCAATTTTGCTAACAATAAAATGTAGCATAAGAAAATATGCTACATAAAAATCTCAGATATCCAAAAATCATCTTTGATTCGTTATTTATAAAAATAAAAATTCTATTGATAATTTAAATGATAATTTAAAAATGATAAATTATCAATTTTATCCATATATGTGTATATTAATATCACAAAAAAAATAATAGTTTCAAATTTTGGAATTATGTAGAAAGCATAAAAATTTGATTTTTTTAATCATTTTATCATTCATATATATAATTATATGTTAAGAAAAATTTTAACAGAATAAGAAAAACTTGTTCATTTTTTTCTCTGTCAGAGAAAAATATAAGAAAAGACAATCTGATTAAAATAAGAAAATTAATGAAATTATAACAAAATAATTGTGTCTATAGGCATTATTGCAAAGTAATTTCTTTTTTTAATTTTATCATACACTATAATTTTTATTAATTTTTTTTCATGCTTTTTTAAAATAGAGAATTAAGACACAAAAAATGAAAATAAGAGAAAATTTTTTTAATGATTAAAAAAAGATAATTTAAAGACAATGATTTTATAGTTTGTTAGCTATGTTTTAGTACATGCTTTGTACATGATTTATACGTATCTATATGAATAAAGATTAATCAGATCTCCGTTACAAAAATATACACGAAGCTGTATATTTTCGTAACGAAAGTAGTAAGTGATGATTCGAAGCGCTGTCTTAGCATTTTCGACCGTACATTTCAATTTCTGATAATGTAATGTTTTAAAAAATATCGCCGAATATTTATTGATATTCGGAATGAGTTTTATTATACATTTCGATAATGTTTTATTTCTCCCGGAGGAAGAGTCAGGAAAAATCATAAACTTCATACAGAAAATGAACTAGACAGACTCAAGACTAACACAAGAATGTTACAATATACGCAGTTTTATAAATGCAAAATTATTGCATCTAAACATTTAATTTTATTATAATGAAAAATTATAAAAGTTATTATTTATATCACTCCGTTTCAAAATAATAATTGTGTTTTAATTGTTCATTTTCTGTTGAAACAAGAGATATTGTATTAATCCTACTCGCACTAAATTTTAATTATATATTTATTAAATTATATGTAAGAAAATTTTAAATTTAATTTAAAAAAAATAAGAGTGCAGATAGTATAGAAAATTATATAAACCCTATCTAGACATTGACTATCGCTCTCATTATGAATAACAGATAATTTCAAGTTGCAAAATAGATGAGCAGAATCTCATCGATATGATCAAGCGAACAAATAACGATCCACGAGAAAAGATCCACAACCTATATACAAGCACATTTTTAGGCCTACGTGTATCTCTCTAAATTCCAGTTCTTTATTCACGAAACATAAACATGCCGAAACGATCCATCTACTTGCAACCACCAGACAATCCTTACCAAAGAACCCGACGTGATCTCGAATTTCTATACAATTACTGGGATCGATTGCTCTCTGCGAATCAAAATTATGACATTCGCCTTCCGGAATTGTTACGCGCTAATCACTTAATGAGACATTTATCTTCTCTACCCTCGAATCACGGATTGCGAGTCAACATGAGCTTCACTATTCTCGATGACAACAATCGTCTGGAATCGCAGGACATGTACACCGAAATGTAATAGACATTCCCTCCTCATGATATACTTGTTTCTAAATAAAAATTATTTTTCCTTTTTCAAAGAGAGAGAATCACGAACATAGATACTTTAATAAAACGTAAAAAATAATTAAAATCTCAAATGAGAAATATTACTTATTTATAGCTTTTCTTTCAATTTTTTCCGTCATTGAACGGTTCGATAATGTAAATTCTTATTCGTGTAGGAATAATGTGTCGCCTTTTTATACTGAATCTCATAACGGATTCCGCCAAACGCCTTGCAACGCTAATATGGCTAGGTATAGTAATTTACTTAGGAATTATGTAAGGCAAATGAACGAATATTACGCAGTGATCGAAAGAGAATTGACAAGAGCCAGAATATCGACTCCTCTCGTTGAACACGACAGATTCACGGGATGTCAGAATGCATTTTACAATCAGGTTCGGTTTTGCATCTCTAATTCGAGATAAATGATTTCAATATATAACAGATCATCATATTTGATATATTTTAACGAATTTTTTATCTTATTATGATTTTCGATGTAGCGCGCAACAACATATAATTGGAATAAATTTTCTGTTGGAAATCGAACATGTTCCGCAAGAATTCCTTCGGGATTACGAGAAAAATACGTTAATTCGCAGGCAAGTAATAATCGTTCAGCTTGTGCATCATTTCAGCACGAATGTTGCATTGCCAATACAAATGCTGGTTGCTCGGTAAATCAACAACCAACAAGACAAAAAGAAAATTTGCCCAAGGTAATCAATCAAGAATATGAAATATTACTGTTTTTTTAAATATTGCGATACCGACGATAAATGCATAAATTTATGTGCGTAATATTTTAAATTTTCAATATTCGTATATTCTTGTAATCCTTTTTATATTTGCGGAATTGCAATTTTCAATAAAAGCAGAACAATTAATGATATTTCAGGGATTAAATGACTCACCAAAGACCGCTGAACAACTTCAAAATCGTGAAGAACCTGCAAGCAAACAACAAGTTCGTTCATTAAATTTGTCTTTATTAAATTGTTTTAAGTTTCGATGTGACACAGTATACTCTTAAGTGCAGTTTCAGCGAATAAGTTCATTTTCTATGGTTACATGACTTTTACTATGTACTTACACAACTGTTATAATAATAAACGACAAATTGATACTGACAGTATCACTAAAATCGATAGTAAACGTAATTCTGGATCCATTTACTAATGCAACATCTCAAACTTATGGGAATCGATTTTGCAAAGAAGTAGGTAAACTGCACTTTTGGTATATTCGTGACTCGTCGATATTTTTTTAAAGATTTTCTTTCTTAATGTATTATCAACTCACAACAGGTTACATGCGAATCGTATTATAACTTGCAAGTTACAATGTAGTAGAATTAATACGTCGCGTATTAATACAATTTTTACACAAGATTTAAAATTAATTAAATTTTAACTGAAATCGAATTATCGAGACTATTGTACGTTGAATGTCATGTTTGTAAATGCATCAACGTTGTATGTTATTTCCGGGAAACGTTTAGTTTCACAGACGCTGCACAGACAACTATTAAGTAAACCACGGTAATTTTTTGTCGGCAGATCAACGGGCTAACATTCCAAAAATAGCGACTAGCAAATAAAATAATCGAGTCGTAAAACGTCCGGCTATGTCTACCGTTATTCTAACTTCAAAATTCAACAGCATTTTGCAAAACACATAGAGTCACGACAGAAAGCATAATATTTCAATGTGTAAAAAATTCATATGATAAAAAACAAAATATTATTTTTTTAATGTAGCAAAATATTCAAAAATTGTATATTTCATTGTATATTTTCATCATAATTTTTTCACTCGAAATAATCATCATTACACCGATAACAGACAAGTATAATCCATCCTTGCTTATTCCAACAATCCATCTTTGCTTATTCACAGAGTTACTGTTTCATTACATTTAGAAATGTAAATTGATGTTATTTTATGAAGATAAGTTTGTAGCACAACGTTTACTTTACTTATTTAAAGATTTTGTCCCCATCCCAATCGCTTTTTGAATTTTCAAATTCCAGCATAACGTATTAATAAATTTCACATTCCAAAAAAATATAAAATTAAGAAAAAATGTCATAAAGTTACTCATCCTGTCATGCATTAATTTCACAATAACATTCGGCGAACAAACATTATTCAGGTTCTACAGAACTGTGTCGGGATTACGTTGGATCGAAACAACAACGCAATGATAAAGCGGCACAACTCGAAACAGTCGATGAAAGAGAGCCAGAGTGTCGATAAAATTATTAACGATGCAGCGAAAGCTTCCCATTCAGCTGAATCGCCGAATGTCAAATCCAACGATAGCGTCACAATAAATAAAAGCGATGACCAATCGATCGATCCGCAACTGATCAGCTGTCAGGGAAATATTCTGCCAGAATCAAACATCGCGACGGATCAAAGCCCTCAAGGACGTGGCAGCAAACGTAAATTGGACAATATAGAAAATGAATCTACAACGGCCGAATTCGATTTAGGATCTAGTAGTCATCAACGAAATCAATGGAGAATGACCGAAGGAATCAAACCGCGCGTCAAAGATGCGCCGATATTCACTTCAGAGAATGCCAAAACTAGAATCAGAAACGGTAGAATAACAATGGAAGGAAGATCGTTCTCGAGAAGGAATGTATCCTCGCCGAAATATGCGAGTTTCCTAAGGATGTTTCGCAGGGAGGAAGTGGATGAACATCGATATAATTCCTCCTCTCGAAGGGATAATGGAGAAAAATTGCAACGCCGAAGAGGACTCTCTACGGAGAGGTATATAATTATTTAATTACGATATAATCGATATAATATATTGAAGAATTGAAGAAATATTTCTTATATAATTTTTGTTATTATTAAAAACTATAAGAAAATTTTCAAAGTTGTTAGCATATGTACAGTTTTATATCATATATACAATGATTAATAAAATTAAAAGATAAAATCTTAAAAATCTTTTAAAGTTAGAAAATTGTATTATAGAAAGATATTATACAAAACTTTAAAAATATATTTTTAAAATATATCTTTATAACTTTAAAAAGTTAGAAGATTTTATCTCTTAATTCTGTAAGTTTTAATTTTATTAAAAAGTAATTTTTTTAATTTAAAAAAAATATATTTTAGAGAAATATTGTATTCTTTTATCTTGTAAAAAATAGACAAACTACAAGTTTGATCTCTCCATCACTTTTTATCTTTTTATTATATAAAAATTTTATAGAATAATTTTTTATTTGTTTTATCATTTTCATAAATAAATAATGTAAATAAATTTGGAATTGTTCCTTTAATTTAACAATCTTATTTCCAGCACTGGATATAATCGAGCAAATCCGCAAGTCGAGAAAAGAACGCCGACTCCGAGAAGTACAGTACATACGACATACAATCCTATAATGCACTCATCGACTACTGATCCTATTTTAGATTCCAATGGTCTCACGATACAGCTCTTGAGGTATTTACAGTTTGCTTATTTACTAATTTGTATTCTTTTTAAGTTGTTTTATTCTATTTCCTTTTCAAGATTTATAAACATATATTTCTATCAAAAGTTATTAACGATGAAAGAATGTGAATGTGTGTATATGGATAATAAAAATATATGTAAAAAATCTTAAATATCATAAAAATCTTAAATCTCTTAAATTATATAATTTACGTAAACATTCAATATGAGATTTTACAATCGAAAAAAATTAGTCCTGTTTAAAAAAATAAAATAAAAATGATTATATACAATATAATTTTTTTTTAAATCTTATTTAAAATAATAATTAATGATTTACACAGGCTAGCTGTTTTATTATACACGCCCGTGTTGATGCCAGCATTGAATTCATTGATCGCACAACAGAATCAGCAAACGCCCGTATCGTCTTCTTCCTTTGAAAGATCGAATGACCTATTGACGCAAATCTTCCGACTACTAAACGAACAACAGTCCATTTCTAATTTGCCGTTCGTTTCGCTCGAATCTGAAAGAGTATCCTCAACTTTGGCCGCAGAAACAAATACCGAAAGTTCACAAACATGTTCCGAACAGAACGAAAAGGATATTTCAATCGCTACGGAAGAATCTGATTTTTCTTTGAAGCAAGAATCTATTTCCGCCGGGACGAGCAGATGGAATTCGAACACTCGTGTACAACAGCAGAATAAAAAAGATCGAAAATGGCGACTGATGTCGATGCTAACCGATTCCGATGTGAGATTGGATAGAAACATCTTCGCGACGGAGGACTTCCGGAAGTTTGAAGAATTCTTAAGGACTGGAAAGAAACGTTCGGAAGATGTTCGATCTCTATCCACAAGAAACAAGAACGAGATCGTTATGAAAGAATATTTTCAAAACTGGCTACATCGATTGTTGCAGCAACTTAATTCATTGAATAATAATTTACCTGTGAATGATCAAATGACAAAATATTCTGAAGGATCTTCAAGAAACACAGGCGAATCTTCTTTAGAGGTAAAAGGAGAAGAAAATACGGACCGTTTAACAGTTGACGAGGCGCTGAATTTCTCGAAGGATGACAGAAATAATTTTACTGAATACGAGGAAGAGGATTCCGATGATTAGAAGTCGTTTACTTCCGCTACGAGTACAAATTCTTCAAAATCAGTACAACTTAAACAGAGCGATGTAAAAAAGGCAGAATCGCGAAATAAAAATTTGCAGGATTAATACAACTCGGTGAAATTACGAATAAAATTATATTCAAAATGTGTCTTCGGCAACAAAACAAATCATGTGACAAGTGACAAATTATTCGGGGAAAAAAGCTCTTACTAGTCACTCGAGAAACAAAAAAATCTTTGTCAAGACACGGAGTAAACTCGAACCATGTGGCAGATTCGTGAGGACGCTTGCGCGCGTAGACGAACACGTGGACGTAAACGTTGTAAGTCGAGCTTTTCCGCAGCGCGCTGAGAGCTTGCAGTCGCGCGTATCATCGCTACCGGAACGCTTCCTCTCGTTCGGTGGTCCTTTCATGTTTACTCCTGTATGTATTTATGTGCATCTGTGGGTGCTTCAAATAATAAACGATCAAACTATAACGCGAACCAAAAGCGTAAAGAACGCTAAAAAACAAACAATAGACAGAAAGAGATAACTTTATTTCCTCTAATATAATCGCGAATGGCAGATAAAAAACACGGAGAATCGTTGAAAAACGCCGTCTTTTTCGTACACTAATAATTCATTGAGAAAAATTTGTTGGAAAATTTTGAGAAGAAAATCTCGCCGCGATGAAGAGCGAAGAGATGAAAGCTTCCTCTCTAAAATGCAAAAGAACGCAGAGTCATGACTGAGAAAATTAAGAAAGCGTCTCAAATTTGCGCATCGACATCCCGAAGAGGCTGATCACGCACGAGTCGAGATGAGCAAAGAGGGGAGCAGCGGCGAGGCATCCTCGCCGGAAGTCCAGGCGGATGTGTCGCCGAAAGACACGAATGCGGAGATTTACGAAAATCGCGGGCCTAAAAAAATAATTCGCGTAGTCACTGTGATAGCGTATCTATTTTCGGTGAGTTTCGTGGGTATCCTCTTAAGTGCCTATTACATATTTTTATGGGACCCACCGAATCCGAGATTGATAAATCGAGGAAGACTGCAGGCGGATCCGCAGATGCAGTCCCTGATCGCCACCGTGCCTTCAGAGAAGACAGACTTGAGGAAGAAGGGGAACGATTTCTTTCTGGAAAATGAAGTTAATCGCGCGGACGTATCTCTCTTAAATCGCATGCCGTACAGCGCGTACGATGGGGATGATCCTAACGTCAATTCTCAAGACAAGAAACAGGAAAGGCTGAACGTGATGTTGCTAAAATTGAGACACTCGCTCATGGAAACACACGCTCGGAATCGAAATCTGTCGAAACACGAAACGGTAATTTCCGGCGGACCCAACAATTCGTCTATTAGAGGAACAATGCTCAACTCGATCTCGAATAAATTGCGTAAAAATATTTCTGAAGAAAAAACTCGAAGTAATACTGATTTACCAGAATTTATGGATCCTATAAATATGCTGGACATTGAAAACACGGCCAAAACTGTACATGAAAATAAAACGAAACATAAATATTTGAACGGAAGATTTATTAACGATGCCAATCCGATTGTCGATCGTGAGGAAGAGAATCGCAATTACAGGAACGAGCATTCTGACGCTAAATTATATTCTGATAGTAAATCCAGCGATACGAAAGCAAACGATGATATTATAAATGACAGTAATCATCGCGGTATCAAACGCAACAATTCTTTCAAAGAGGATCAAGAATTTTTAAAAATCAATATTGTCGGCGATATGAAAGAATTGATAAAACCAGATGAAATTGATAATCGTCAGTTGATCAATGGCAATCGAAAAAATGATTCAAATAATGTACACACGATCATTACGTCAAAAGACTACAAGAAAGATCTCACGAAACGTCTGCTATCTATAAATGTCAACGTTAATAATCTAAATTTCCGGCAAAATTATTCCTCAGACAACCACATCAAAGAGATCAATGAAGTATCGACTGTCCCATCATCTCACGACCACGATTCAAGATATATCCATAACAGTCCGGGATCCCATCAGCCGTCGGATGATCCGACTGTTGTAAAATCGCAAGCGTACACCACGAGAAATTCCGAAGGTGAGAGAATTCGGATGAATTTATTAGCTTTTCTTATGACGTCGGGATAAATGCGTGCTCGTGTGATTAAACAACGAGCGTTACGTCACTTGATTTGCCTCAGACCCTGCCAGATTTATGTTTTTTGCTTATTCATTGATCATCAGACGAGTGGTTCCACTTTCAGTAACAATGATTGTACATCTTAAGTTTAAAAAAAAATTGACAAATATATATAAAAATATAAGTGAAACTTTAAATTATTATTGATGTGTTCACAATATATCTCGTAATCTATTAAATTTGAAATTCGAGAGAGGAATGATTATACGTGAATTAATATATGTGCTCTTGCATTTACTGTAATTTACATTCTCTATTCTTATCAAATTATAACTGTTGTTCATTCAATTTCATCTAACATAAGCAAAACTTTCGGTTGTTCAAAGTATTTAAACTTCTCAAATTCTCACAGAGTTAGATCTCCCCCTATTATTATTTCTCTCTTCGAATATATTTATATTATTATTCTTGCTTTCTTATTACAAGTGTAAATTATACTTTTGTCACATTCTACATATTTATGTATATAATAATTTATCAAGTGCTTTCGCTGCATTATGCAATACGAGAAACAATATCTGAAAGATATTAATATAAATATAAATAAAACATTAAAAGGAGAGAGACACTTATATAAATATTAAAAAGATTTTATTTTTTAGGACACATTTTTGCTAAATTAAAAGAAAATAAATTTTAATACTAAATTTAAAATTTTAACGATGAAATGTATGTATTCAATTGAAAGAGCAAGTACAATTTTTCGATTAGTAAAGGAAGAAATATTCTGGACTAAATAAGCAATGATTAAAGCCTTAGAAATAAGTCGATGGATCGGTATATGATGATTATCTGCGTTGTCCATATGTAATAAGTGAAACAGGGTCAGGTCGATCTGTTATATGGTTTCTTTCGTTACATCACACTCAAGATCCGATAACTTCTGAATATCATTTAATCATTAAATGACTGCACTTGTGACAGGTAAATTGTTAATTTATTCAAAAACATATAAGACAAAAATATAAGACAAAAATTCACCAAAAATAATTAATTTAAATCCAACATATCTTTGTGTTGGACATTATAAAAAATAGTTAATAAATATTTCAATCTAAAAAAGAAATTTTATACTATAGACACGAATGAAAAAGTATAAAGTTTGAATTTTAGTCAATAAATAAGATATATATAAAATATACAACAATATAAATTACGTTAATAGATAATTTTGGATTAAAAATAAAAGATTTAAAGTTAATCCTGAAATAAAAGAACAATTTAAGAATTTTTTAATTTTGTTTTTAATGTATATTGTCCATTTATTTTTAAAGCTTCAACGAGTTCGTTTATATAATATTTTACGGAGATATTTCTTACGGTAGATTGTGAAAAACACTTTATATAATTTAATGGAGTCTGACTATAACTTTTCTTCAGAATTTTTAGTTGTTCTCAAGGTTCACATCTTTTCTTGGTGATACGAAACTTATACTAAGAGATCGAACAGTGCGCCTTGTGTTTGCCAAAGAAAAGATTGAGAGACTACGTTATGGCATTCTATTAAAACAAAGGAGTGTCACCTTTTATAGGATAAGTAAGGCGATAAAGTTGCGTCGATCCATTCTTAAAAGAAAATTGCTCAACAGCATAGGATGCTCTATAATCCCTGTTTAATTCTCGTTACATTTAATCTTATTTCGAAACTAAACTATATCTCACCGATAAGATATTCCGCTCAGCTTTCTAATTTTCATTCCTATTTGCGAAACAATCCCTCTGATCAGCGAACTTTAAGAAAAGGATCTACAATATGTATAAATTATACAAATTTTGCATACTTTATATATCTCCATAACACTATTCTAAAAAATTAATTATATTCTCCATTGCATCATTTTATTATAATTATAAAATCGAAATTAGAAAAAGTAAATTTCAAAACATATATATGAGCCGAATGTAAATTAAAAATATAATAAAATAAATACTATATACACAGAGATGGGAGAAAATAACCTGTAAATAATAGTTTAAAGATACGCGAAATAATTTTTATTAAAAATACGATATTTTTTAAAAAATCGATAATGTTTTCATGCAATCACTCGTTTATAGAAGCAACACTTGCAACAATGCAATATTCTTTTGTGCATCAATAAACTTTTATTTTTATTAGCTACAATTCTTAGAATTTGTGAAATGATCCTAAAGATTATAAAATGTCAGTAAACAGAAGAATAATAATATTCGCTTATAAAACATAAGAGTTTATAAAACATAAGAGCTTATAAAACATAAGAGCTTATAAAACATAATTAAATGTCTCGCAAAAATACAAATCTGGAAAAAAATGTACTTATTATATTTTGTATTGGCTATTATGGTACTTGTATTTTTTATATATCTAATGAAGCATCTCTTATGATATATAATTTTTCTTCTCTGCATATTTATTATAATTTCTAATAATTTTCCCTTTTGAGAAACATGAAAAATGTATAATATTACTATGAATTTGATAAAATAATATTATTTATACCGGAAATTAAAATCGCGATTAAAATCGACGATTTAAATTAATATTTCTATTTTAGATATATGACAAAAGATATATATTAATGAAGGACAAATCTCGACGCAAGTGTAACGACCTCTCGAGTTTATCAGCCCCTAAATGAGAGACGAAAAGCTCTCGATGGGTCAAGGTTTGGAGCTTGCGCACTGGATAATGCTTTTCCGTGCACACATTCGTAGTGATGTTTTTTATATTCGCGACGTACACACGCGGTGGCTTATTCACAAGAACTAACGCGCAGAAATAGCCAGCGGAAAACGCGCGTGTTTAGTTGCGTGGAGAAGACGGGTGTGAGCTTTCGTAGATTCTATCGATTTCGAGTGTGCGAGTCAGCCCTCTCTGTAATATTCTGGAACTTACGGACGAAGCTCGTTGCGGAAAGACACGCCCTGTAACATTTTTGCAACAGCTCTTACTCGTGATGTGATTAAAGAATATTCGAAACAACTGATCCTTGCACGATCCGAAGTTTAGGAATGGCGAGAGGGCGGATCGAAAACTAAAAGCATGTGGGAATAAAATGCGCAGTTTTTAGTAGTGATGTCTTTAACATTAAGGTACGTCCACTTGTGGTTCAAATATTAAGCGAAAAGAAAAAATATCAAATTCGAGAAAATAATTAATTTATATTGCTATATATACAACATATATAAGTTTCATTTTTTAAAAATACATGTATTAAAAAATACTCGAAGATTCACGAAACAATGTGAAAATTATTTTTTGCATTGAAATTGATTCCTTTTCTCGTTCAAGGAAAAATTCATTCGAATTAGCAAACGATTTAATTAACAAGTCTCGTATATAAATATAAAGACGCTTTAATATTGATGCAATTTCCCGAAAAAAATATCTATGTTTCTCGAAAGTTGAACTATTCCAACCACTTCTATTAGCATCAAGTGGATCGCTTTTTTCAGTGTTGAAAGAGGATCTGCTCCTCATCCGACGATTCCTCTCGAAGTCTCGTTTCTATCGAGATTCCTCCGCGAAGTGATGAACGCCTGATGAATCGAGACGTGACTTTTCTAAGTCGAAAATATAATTGCCACGAAAAATGAGTGCCCACAACGTGATGGCTAGTATCGGTCGCACCTTGGGTAGTCGCGAAAGCAAAGCACCGGCGCCCAACGAAATACGTTTTGCTGGTGACGAACGTCGAAAGGACAAGCTCTATGAACCCAAACACAAGCAAAAAGTAGTGCGTGTGTTGACAGTAATCGCGTATGTCATATTCGTCAGCATGGCTGCCATACTCCTCTCTCTATATTACACCTTCGTCTGGAATCCTAAGGACCAGGCAGTCAGGAAACTGAAGATCGAGATGAAGGATTGTGTTAAATCTCCTTCCCTTGACCTCCCGGTTCCATCAAATTTCAATGGTAACAGCATTAATCAAGAGAATGTAGATAAAAGATTAGAAGATAAACGCCGATTTTACACTAATGTAACGAATTATTAAGTTTAACTACTGACAGTTAATATTATCGTTTTGCAATTAAAAATAAATTCTAAGAGAATTTTAAAAGTTCTATGTTATACAAATTTTTTAACGAAATAATAAAAAATCTACGCTATTATAATTTTATAAGAGATAAAAAAGTCACACGATATTTATCTTGTAATGTAAGATGTAAATAATATATAATATAAATAATCTATAACATTTTTTAAACTTTACATTGTAATATAAAATTTTGGTACTATAAAAATATATTATGCATTCTAAATTCTATATGTATAAAAACATGAACAAATTTAAAACGAGTATAAATAAATTCCTATAACTTGTTATTATTAAATGAATATATCTTGCTTTAATTACGATATAATCTCTTCTTTTTCTTTTTTTTACAGAAACACAGATCGAAAGGATGACTGTAAAATCTACGACGATGAATAATAAAGAATTGAAGGAAATAGATATATCGTCCACCCAACCACAGAAAAGTCTTTTGGAAATTTTGACGGAAATCACGAATATCGAGGAAACATCCAATGAACTCACATCGATATCGACAGTACAGGATTATCGCAACAATTTCACTAGTACCATAAATGTCGACAATGACGATAATGTTACATAAACGAGTACCAAACTTTTTACACTTTCTATTGAACGCGAAAATATAAGCTAAAGGGAAGCCAAACTAGTAATCGCTAACAGAGTAATAAGACCTATTAGTATATTCATAGAAATTCGATTTTTCCATTCTAAGAACAAAGAATATTAGAATGTTGCATTGATCTAAAGATTAGCTAAATGACAAATCTTGTAAAGATTAAAAGGACTCTCCGAGATGAATATAAAAGTTAGACACATAAATATAATTTAGGTTTAACTAGTTATGTAAATGATGCTGTTGACGATAAAATCAATAATGATAATGAACAATAAAATCCTAAGCAAAATACAAAATATTCATAAACGAATCATGGTTATTACGAATTAATTTTAATTTTATTAATTGCTTAATAAAATAATATAATTATATAAATGTAATTTCTGTTTAATAAAAGTATCTTTTTTTCCAAATTTCTTGCCACACGAAAAGTACTCTAAAGAATATTTTTGTATTGTATTAGTGTTATATGTAAAACAATAGTATATAAAATAGTGTAATTATAAAAGAGAAAATAATTTCTACAAGCTTATTATCGCAATTGAAATTCGTCCAATGTCTCATATAAGTTTTATATGATTAATAAAGGCTACATATATTAAAGTAATTACATTACTTCATTACATTTATACTTTATTTAAAAATAATTGCTTTATTTTATTTACAGTTAGCTTACAATTAGCTGTATGAAATTAATATTATTTCAATGTAATTAAATAGGCAATTATTTGTAATTATTCCGTCATATTTACATGAACACAGAGAAAGTTTTTAGCATTTTATGGTATGTACCTTAGACTCGGATGTTATCATTTCGGAAGCTCTATTGTGGCCCACAATTTGAGCAAGCGATATTGCATCAAATTTGTTATAAATAATAGTCACCGACATGTTAAACTCGGTGCCAGCGCGCGGATTCTGATACAATCTATCCATTAGATTACACATTTCGCTATAAAAGTGTGGATAAGTGGGTAATTGGTAAAATATAAGATGACGAATACCCTTTATTCTTGTTCTTCGCCAGAAGTGCCAGCGTTCCGTGTAAAGAAGAAAATGCGCGTCGCTATGAAAGAACATGTCTCTTGCTCGGGCAACTTTTCGGTCCTCAGTATACTCGCAAATCTGCCCGAAACTCAGTTTCTCTTTCATCATACGATTTCGCACATATATAAAATCGAAATAAGATGGAATGTAGATCAATGTGTGATTATATATAGGATCCATGTATCGCGGTAGTATCTCCTTCAGAAAAATTCCAATCTACCGTCGACTGCTTGAATAAGATCGGAGGCTTCGAATCTATGGAATACCTGTGGAATTTTGATAGTCACCTTGTGAATTGAACCCGATTCAATTCGATTTGCCACCTTCACCTTGCCTGCATAATTGAAGCATTTTCTTGTCAATAGTGTGTTTATATGCGGCAGCTCGATACTGGAAAAGATCAAGGTCTGTCGATAATATTTGGTCCAGCCATTCACGCACCAACTTCTGAGGCGAGAGTAATCAATGTCATGAGATTTTTAGGTTGCAGATGCAGATAATCTAATACTTGATGCAGATGATCCCAATTTTGCATAAGAACGACGTCAATCTGATCCATGATTAACAATTCTATGGATGAAAGAAAATCAAAATCTCTATCTGCTTCTCCTTCTGCACCTATCACCTTTCTAAGACCCAATGGTGAACCAATTATAATATCAGATGTGTAGAAATTCGTGTATAACTTGAGAGTCTTCTTGGTGATGGCCATACCTATCTTGAACTTGTCGTTAACATTTCCTTGTAGTGTCAATTCATAATCTTCTGGTTTAGGATTCTTCTTCGGTATTGCTAACTCGTTCCCAGAAAAATCTTCCATGAATCGTAACTTATTCATGACGGATCCACCTTTATCCTCTCCAAATAAAATTGAGATAAACATTTCAACTATTTTCAAGCAAGAATGCTTGAATGGCACAATTATGAGTACTTTGGGTCTTACTAATCCATGATCTCTGTATTCATCTGGAATTTCTCCCATTCCATTTCGATTGGCCTTTGTTAATTTTGCATTATGATGCAGTATTTTTGTTCGAGTTTTCAGCACATGATTGATTATATGTAAACAATAAACGAATCGTATCTGATCAGCATTCGAAAACGTTCTCTCTGGATAATACAAATCTTGATAATTATTTATCACTGAGAATAATTCTTTTTGAAGAGGAGTTAAAGATGTAGAATCTTTTTCCATATTATCTTTAATGTTATAATGATTAGCTTTGATTAAATTATTCTGAATTTGTGATTTTATATGCAATTTATTCCAATCAATATTTTCAATTAAACTTGGAACTTTACCATAATTTGTATATTGTTTTTCTTCATCATCTAGAAGTTTCCTGACTTTTATTGGATTGTCTTTTGAATCAACAGGTTTTGGGATCTGGCATATTAAATTTCCAAGTATGGGCCATGCCAATGTTGTAACCTCAGTAATTTGCGGTGTTACAGAAACTACTTTATATAGTTCATCATCCATATCATTGCGCAAATGTAAAGAGAATGGATCTCTCAGATGACCAGCATCTTCTCGAGCAGTCTCAGCATCTTCATAATCCTCTTCTTTCATGCCATCTGTAACATCTTCAGTCTTATTGCGATCATCAGATTCTTCATCCATGTCAGATTCTTCATTCTCTTCTTCATCAACTTTTTTCCTTTCTTTCCTCTTTTTCTTTTTCTTTCTTTGCCTTTTTCATTTTTATTCTGTTCATCGTGTTCTTCGCTATCTGAACTAGTCACAACTGATTTCTTCAGTTTCTCCAGTAAATTTTCATAACCAGGGAATCGGGACATAAAGAGCAACTCGGAATCAATTTCTTCTTCTTCTTCAGAACTATCAGTTTCTTGAAGCCGTTGACGTGCCTTTTCTTTCTCCACTATTTGTCTACGAGCCTCAACTTCCTCATTTTTTGCTTCACGTTCCTTAACATAAGATGCTTTTCTATATTCAAACTTGCCTTTTTTTGGTTTTGCCCGACTTCGTACATTCCGTTCATCAAAATTTCTTTTTTTACCACGAAATTTCTTTCCTGGTGCCATTAATACAATTCTGGTTTAACCTGTATATGTATATGTTGCTATTAATCGAAAAAGAAAATATCCAAAAGAAATGTATATAATTATTTTGGAAAGCATTTCTCTGAGAGCTATTTACATATATTTTTTTACTATTAGATTAATTAAATTTTTAATAAACATACCTTTAAACTTTATGCAGCCAACAATACAGTAAAAACGATGTAGTAAAAAGTAAGTTAACCTCTAATTTTCAATTATTAAATTTAATAAGATTCCAGTTGTGTGCGTATTTATACTTATTAGCTTAATTAAATTTCAATAAATTTACTATTAATCCGTTCGGCTAGCCAACAAAATGTGCACACTTATGAATGATTAACCACGTGTTTCTGTGTACATCATCACACAGTGGAACAAATGCGAGGATACAGTGGATACATATCACTTGGTACGGAAATATTACGAATCGTTCAACCAATCAGAAAAGAGAGATATTTATTTCTTTTATCCTGCTATATTCTGAAGAAACTAACCAATCACGAACTAAACGCACGCGCATCTGTGTTCATGTAAATGATTCATAAAATACTTTTATAGCGAATTTATTTCGCTGATCTATATAAAATTATAAATAAAAAATATTTTTTTTATTTTTCTGAAAATGTAAGGCTATTTTGTACATAAGTGGATGAGGAGTGCAAATGGACAGAAATAATGCATTATGGGATAGCATTGCTACTTTTCTCTCTCTCTCTCTCTTTCTTTCCCTCTCATTTTTGTCCACCAGCATCCTTGTCCACTCGTTAATTGGATGCAGTTTCATATAATTACACTATTTTACGTTAATCTTCCATCATCCCATCTTATCTAAGAAGAAATGGACTTGAATAACGCGTTATAAAGATCCAAAACACTCACCGTCCCGTCGTCGTTGATAAATCGTTCGTCGTTGCTGATCGTCCATCATTGTTGATCATTCGTCGTTGCAAACATATCCAGGCACAACTTGTAAAATAAACACTCACACGAACGAACGCGGCAACGGCACTCCCGGTTGACAATTAAAACACTCGAAGCAACACTATAATGAATCACTCGAACGCGACTTTGTCGGAACGCGATCTCCGACATTCGAACTCCGATCGGCGACGCGGCTTCGCTATGAAGGTAGCGCTGTACGCGGGAACCGGATGTAATCCTATAGACTTGGCGCGCTTGCATAGGAGGTCACGTGATCGCGCGCGTAAAATTGAATTGAGATATATACGGAATTGAATTTGCCGTAAGTAGATAAGATCAATTTCTGATTTTTCGATGCCGCGTAATAAAATCAGGCGAATTAAAATTAATAGGAAAAAATTTACTTTAATGAAACAAGAGTAATTTAAGCTTTTGATTAAAAATTTATTAAAATAACTTTTGAGATTTATTCAAAGGTTAGCTTCTTGATATAGATTTAAATAAATCTATTTTCAATCTCTAATTCTGTTTAGTGTAAGAGAATTGATATTAATTATTAAATAACTATGACAAAAAAATGTAAGAAAATTGTTAAGATAACATTTGAATTAAAAATTTAATCTTATTAAGCTTGTTATACGAGAAAGAGAAAGAGAGAGAGAGAGAGAGAGAGAGAGAGAGAGAGAGAGAGAGAGAGAGATAAATTCTATATCTTCTTAATCTGCGATAAAACGTGTACGTCTAATTATAAGAATTGGTTTTTTATCAATATCGATTGCAATTATAGCTAAACTCAATTAAATCTTTTTGATAATTATAAAGAGTTTATTGTCATTTCCTCGATATGAAGTAATAAAATACGGAGAATCAGTTGATGAATTACAGGTCAGAATTAATCGACGTTTTTGAAATTTACTGTTACAGCATCGCGTGTATAGCTATTCGTATATTACATAACAACATTTATCTACCTTGCAATTATCTTCGGCAAACTAAATTCTGCAATGCTCGAATTTCGCAAGCTCACGAATCGCGATGTAAAAAGATTGGCGGGCATATATTCCGGTAGGGGAGACAGAAGGGGGAAAGAGAGAGAGAGAAAAAGGGGGAGAGTAAATATGGAAACACTTACAGTTCGAAAATATAGGGATTCGATTGAAGTCGCGTGGAAATGCCGCGACGTGGAACGGGACGGCGACAACACGGAGAGGAAGAGCGTCCACGCGCGGGAAGCAGGAAAGAGTAGGGTAAAAAATTAATTGACCCTTTTTGCCTCGCTTGTTTACAAAATATCCGGTCCCTAACAGGGCTCGCGCGAACCGCCACGCCGTGTCGAGGCGGATGACTGCGCTCTGAAGTGCGCGCGCATCGACGATACCTCGGCTGTCAGTGACGTATGAAGCGAACTGTCAAACTGTCACCCGTACGTCAACGCTACAGCGGTCCGGTAGATTAATCTCGATAAATCAACATATCTTACATGTAAGTCATTGAAAATAAGTACAATATTTTATAGAATCTGATTTGTCTTAGAACAAGTCTCGCATCGTGACATTATAAATCAGCTTCTCTCGTGTAAATTAAAGGCCTATTCTAATGAATTTGCACAGATGCATCATACGCGTAAATTCACAAAAGAAATATTAACCAATTGAATATCTAAGGCACAGGATGTTACATCATAATTTTTTCTCGTGTCAAATGAACAATCGCTTGACATTTCCGCGAATTGATTCGCAAAAATAATTACGATCGAAGGCCGGGGCGCGAATAACCGTGGGTACGTCACTGACAGCGCCGCCACCGTTCGGTAAACGCACTACCACACGGGCAGAGTTTCGTAGTAGTATCTCGAGCGCCCTTAACCAACCGTGTTCACGCTGTCGTGCGACAAGAGGCGAGAGAGACGGAGTTTCCAGGCCAGGTAGCCGGTGACGAGTCGCCGACAGACGTTGCGCGCGTTCGCGAGTGCCCCGCGGCTGGCTGCGTGGCCCTGACAGCAGCAGCAGCCGGCCCTCGGCCGGCGGAGCCTCCTGCCTCGCGCGCGTCGAGTTCCGTTCCTGCGGACGGAGCGCACGAGCGAGCGAGTGTCGGGCGCGAGTCGAGTCGAGGGGAGTCACACGCTCGAGAGAGGCGAAGCAGCGGACGGTCGATTGACGCGGACAGTAGGAACAACGGGCTTGGAGACGAGCGCGGCCTACGTGCGATTCTTCCTGCGTATCTGATGAGCTCCTCCGCCGCGCCGCTGCTGGTGGTAAGATGGCTGTGCAGCTGGACGGAGGAGGGAAGGAGGACCTGAAAACACAGTTTGTCACGCGGGAGGGCACCTACAAGCTGATGACCCTATCGGAGTACTCGAGACCGAACCGGGTCGGCTACACCAACAGCCAGGGCAGCGCGTCCGTCAGGGTGTCCTTCGTCACGTTGCCGGATCCAGCGGATCCTACGGGCTCGCAGGGCCTCGGCGACCGAATGTGTTTCAACTTCGGGAAGGAGCTCTACGTTTACGTCTACCGTGGCGTCAAGAAGGTGAGTTTCCCCCGCTGCTGACGATCGTCGTCGTCGTCGTCGTTGTCGTCCTAACCTCGCAGAATTATCGCCCGAGAGGTGGGGACTCCATCTTTGCGGTTCGCTCGTCACCACGCCTTGGACGAAGACGTCGTGATCGACGAACGGGAGCGACGTCGACGATTTTCTTCGTGGAGTTGATTCTCGCTGCGAGAATCGTCGTCGCGCGTTTTTATTCGCGAACGAACCTACGTCTGACGTCTTGACATGGCAAACACTCGAGCTGACAGTTCTTGGAAGTAATCGTGTAGATAATAGTACTTGCAGATAATACTTGTGTGTTAGAATTCTTGAGATTTCAATCATTGACTTATACATATATATGAAATTAAAGACGGGGGAATTAAACGAATAATTTATGATCAATTTATTATTACATTCTTTGAGAATAAATTATTACACTAGGATAGCGTTTGAATTTATTTCTGAGATATCTTCGAAATAAGAAAATGCTTTGCGTGTCAAATAACTGGACTACATGTGTCAAAATGTCAAATTTTTCTATTGTCATTGAAAACAAAATTGTATTTTATTGCAAAGATTTTAATTAAAAAAGCTTTAAATTTTAATACATCATTACAATATTCCAGGCTGTGGATTTGAACAAACCAGTGGATAAAAAGTTATACAAAGGGACTAATCCAACTTGCCACAATTTTAATCAAACAACAGCAACAGCTGATAGCGCTCCGTTATTGGTGGGATTTTCTACAGGGCAGATACAGTTGATTGATCCGATAAAGAAGGAACTCAGCAAATTGTACAATGAAGATGTATGTATAAGTAAATTTTGCACGAATCAACAAATTTTTATCAGACACTTAATTTAAGGAAAATTTCTCTCCTGTATTACATTTATTAGTCAGAGAGAGAATTTTGTAAATTTTTGCATTGTATCTGCAGTCTAGCTTACATTGAGATAAATAATCTGATAAATCAAACAATATTCATGCAACTAGTATACATCGCCATACTTTTCTAGTAATGTGTGTACAAAAGCTGTCAACACTTATACAATCTCTGTGTCTATGTTATCTTATTGAAATATGATAAAATGGATAATAAATACTAGTTTAATGGTTAATGTCATTCATTACATCTTGCAATGACTGTTTAATATTTAATAGCACATTGTCCAGACTACTTTTTGCTTGGTAGGCCCATGTACTAATCCAATTATAACTCAATCAAATAATTAAGCTCAACAAGCAACATTACATAACTTTCCGCTATCTTCTCATAACGTAGGCACTTTGGTGGAACAGTTGTGCTGCTTATTTTAAATACATTTTGTTGTCACAAAATGTCAAGTCATTTGTCATTTTTGTTTAATCATTTTATTTCATGAGGTATACATTTAATAGCTGTCTTTTCTTAATTTTTTTAAATTAGAGCTTATTATGTATATGAATATTATTATTTCATTTTAATCTTAGTTTATTATTCATCAATTGCTATAACTTAAACAATAAAATAATAATATAAAAATTTAAATTTTTAAATTTAATTTAATAACATTTATTTTTTAGTATTAATATATATCTTGCTTTAATACAAGAATATAAAGAATACATTTTTCTAATAAAAATATTTCATATTTCAGAGGCTGATAGATAAAAGCAAAGTGACGTGCATAAAGTGGGTTCCTGGCTCGAACAACCTATTTTTGGTTTCTCATAGTTCTGGTCAATTGTACCTTTATAATGAAGAGCTGCTCTGCGGCACCACAGCGCCTCATTATCAGTCATTTAAGTCGGGTGACGGATACGCCATATATACCTGCAAGACTAAATCCACCAGGAATCCGCTGTATCGGTGGGTGATAGGTGCGGAAGGTTGTTGTATAAACGAGTTCGCCTTCAGCCCTTGCGGCACAAACTTAGCCGTGGTGTCCCAGGATGGATTTCTGCGCGTTTTTCAATACAACACCATGGAGTTGGTCGGCTCGGCAAGGAGCTATTTTGGTGGTTTTCTGTGTGTGTGCTGGTCACCGGACGGACGTTACGTGGTGGTCGGTGGCGAGGACGATTTAGTGACCATTTGGAGCTTCCACGAGAAACGAGTCGTGGCACGAGGACAGGGCCACCATAGTTGGGTGAGCGTAGTCGCCTTCGATCCGTATACCACGTCCTACGGCGATCACGATCCTGACTTTAGCGGCTCGGATGACGAGACAACGATGCCACACAGCAATCATAATCACTTCCACGAAAAGTCGCATCGTCTTTCCACGACCTCGCAAGGCGGCCATTCGAACCGTAACTCCTGCGGCTCGGAATTGAGAATGTCGAGCGGCACGTGCTACAGGTTAGGCAGTGTATCTCAAGATACTCAGCTGTGTCTGTGGGACATCACGGAAGATGTACTGAGACAACCAGTGTGCGCCAAGCAGAGGTCCTCCGTAGCGGGTGGCACCAGCGGCACTCTGTCGTCTTCGGGTACGTTTAATAGTGGTAACGGAACAGCGGCGACGGCGAATCATCATTCGAACTCGAATGCTAAACACAATAACTCGAATAACATAAATTTTAAAGAGAACGCGAGTGGTAATAACGAAAATAGTAATAATAGCACGAGCACGAACGCCGCGGTGGCGACTGTGAATTCGCTGACGCAGAGGCTAGCGGGTCTTGGTTTTGGCGAGCGTAAAGGTGATAATCACAAGAGAAACTTTAGTCTCACTATGCGAGGCGGAGGCACCGGTGCGGCGGCGGCGGCGGCAACGGCGACCAACAACAGTACGACGACAGTTGTGCAAAACAATGGTGGCGATAAGGCGAGCACTGGAAACTCGACGAATACGACGAGTAGTAGTCTGAACAACAGTGTTAGTGCGAGTTTAGTAGGTGGAACGGGGAATAAAAAGGTTAGTTCCGTGATGGACGATCCAATGAGGTTGATAGGGACCGCCTGGTGTCCCAGGTTCGACGAGTGCCCGGTCCTCGAGCCGCTGGTGTGCAAGAAGCTGGCGCACGAGAGGCTGACTGAATTAGTGTTTAGGGAAGATTGCTTCGTGACGGCGTGTCAGGACGGATACGTGTACACGTGGGCGAGACCCGGCCACATGGTAGGTCCTCTCACGATAAGCAGCACCCTGCACAGGCCATCACACCATCATAGCAACAACCCTTACACTAGTAATATCAATTCCATGAGATGTAACGACCTCTGATGTAACCCGTTATATCCAAATCGTTATTTAGCAAGTCCATCAAGTAGAGTCTGTTAGTCTAAAAATCCGAATCCTGTGTACATATATATATATATATATATATATATATATATATATAGAGTTAGAATTTAGAATGATGTTATCGTGACGAAAATGGCACGGGAAAATCTTGTAATGCTTTGGGATAGTCTTCCTATCGCCTGTTGAGGTAAACGGAAAGTCTTAAAGACGAATGATAGTTTTTGCTCGGAAGTATTAGAACAAAATATATTGACGAGTTCGGTATTATCTTGTCGGGTGTTTAATACGACGATCGCGTTGCTGTTATTTAAGTTTTATATGCTACGATCAGTATAATCTTAGAGACAGAGAGAGAAAGAGAAAAAGAGAGTCCTTATTCCAGCCAGTCTTTAAGTCTATGAATTAAGGTATACATTTGCGTTTGAGTTCTATTAGTATTGGGAGGTGCCATCAAAGAGAAAGCATTAAAGATTTTTTTTAGTATTTTTCTTTAAGTTTATATTGTGTATATGAGGATTACAGAAGTACATGGACGGACAATACTATGAGTGAACAAATTGTAGCCTGAATTATACTTCAACAATTTTGCAGAGCATCTCTTAGTATTGTTAGATAATATTTTTTAATGTTTCTTTATAAAGTGATATATAATACTTTTGGGATAAGCTTACCTTTTATCGATAGTTTTTCCATTTGATCAGATAAATTTGCTCTCAAATAATTAACAAATCAATTACTCGAAATGCATGAAATTAAATATTTCTAATTAAGTAGTATAGACTACGCGCGCAGATTATAGTATTTGTTTTTTTTCTCAGATATATTAATATAAGTTTTTTAATATTGCATTTTTTGCAATAAATACAGACAGCTTTAATTTATATATATATATATCTCTCTTCCATTTACATATTATCAATTTTATTCTATTATATCTGATTAATACATGAGTTGCGAATAAAAAAAAACAGACACGTGTGTGCTTAAAGTTCATTCATAGTATAGACTGTCGTTAATACCTGTGCCTAATGATGGTCTGGTCAAGATATATCCTCGCGATAATTATTGCAGAATTACGCGAGCTAGGATAGATATCGAATACTGATATATTTATGTTTTTGGTTTGCATCCTCGAGAGCAATGTTGTTTGAGCCCTATGAGGCCTTGTGACAGGGCAGGCCCCTTTATTGAAGAAAGTTTTCTTCCTATTTCCTGTAAAGTGTTGTTAGCTTAGCTTAGCCGAGCATAAAGAAAATCATTGGAAAATTACTTAGCCAAACTGTCGTCTCAGATTACGATACGAGATGCGAGAACATTTAATCTTTTGTTGGAAACGATGAATTTTGCCTTGTTGTACAATAAAGCGAAAATTTGAATGAACGATCGCTGCTTGCTTTCCGCTTGTTGAAATTCTGTTCAATCAAGTGCAATGCAGAAGCTCCAGGGAGAAAACAGTCGAGAAAACGTGCATATGTATGACACGTAAGACGATGTCTATTTACCATTTGCCGCATGTTTTCTTTTTCTTTTTTTCTCTATTATATTGTCGACAATACTAGGTCCTGATACTAGGGCTCGAATAGTGTTTCCTGGCGTTTTGCATAGAGCATTTGTATCCCATACTCACCCTTTCATTCTACAGCTTTGACCAAAAGAAAGGGCAGCTTCATTAAATTGTGTTTAATTAAACTAGTTAATTTGTGACATTTATAAAGTAGAATTATAAAAATTTTTTGTAATATTATTAATTACATTTTTTAAAAATCTTTATTCTTATTGATTCACACGAATTTGGTATATTGTAATTTTTTTTAATTATGAAAGTCATCCTTTATGTTTTTGGTCAATGCTGTGAATACCTGACTAATTGCGAAGTTTGCGATATAAAGTTTATTATAGCTTTTTTTATAGCGCGACTTATATAATTTAAAAAAATAGCGCGTCTTTTTATTATATAATTTTAAACGGACAATGCTTGCGCTTATTTCTCAAAGCCGATGAAGCATTAATTCCTTTTTCTCACTTTTGATTGATCGGAAAGATTAATGTTCTGTACCACGCTTTGGCTGATGCAAGAGAATATCGTGGATGAGACTTTCCTGAGTTATCGCATGGTACGTATGACTTATCATTTTTCGTTCTATTTTGCTTTTTTTTATCGCTTGATCGGACTTGTCATTGAGTAGAATAGAATATACACGCTCGAGTCGTATTCACACACATTTTTAAGATATTGCTCGGCGATATGCTTTCGAATTTTACACTTATATGAATTGCACTATACTATTTTTCTCGGCTTATATATATATGCACTTGCCAAATTTGCATTATTCCCGAAAAGTGCCCTAATAAGGACAAGCAATATATGCATATAATACAAATTATTTAAATTATTTACAAGTCATTATATAAGTACTTAATTTATTGCAAGAATGTCGTCTTGATAATCATTGAATTTTTTTTATGCTTTGTTTAATTCAATTATTAAATTGTCACAAATATAAAAAATCTCTAATTTATATAGAATAATAATTAGCAATATTAAAATAATTAAATAATGTGAAAACTTTTCAGGAATAATGTGCGTTTACGCGATGATTGACTCATAAGCTCATTAACGTCAACAGAAGATTCATGTTCTTTCTAATTTCAGCCGGGAATCGGTCAAGTCGGCGGTGCCGCTCTCCATGTGGTTAGTCCTGCGGAAGGCGGCGGTACCATAGTATAGCCAGAACCGGACATCGACGTCGGTCCACCACGAGATCATCAAGAGGAACCGCAAAGCTCGTCGCGGACGACCGAGACGCAATTTCAGCAGGCTTATGTACGTCGTCGTCATCTGTACTACGTGTGGCCGAGCGAGAGTTACTCCGGTACAGTTTAAGTGAGCGGTCGAATTTGTCAAAAAGCAGACGAATTAAAATGAAAATCTCAAGGGAATCCGTTTCTTAGAAAATTCATCAGCTTGGAAATTAGGAATTTACTTTAAAATTGGTTGACTGCCTGTTAAACTTTAGAGAGAGAAAGAAGACATCTATTTAGGAAATAAGAAATACAAGTTACATACAACGGATTCCTATAAATTCATTGTAATTCAACTAAGATTAAATTGTAATTCGCCTACTTTTACTGGCCGCAACTTAACATTTAGAAACACATACACATTCACACATACAGTGCTTTCGTTTTGGTAAGTCGCTCTTCCGGTGCATATCTTCTTCCTCTTTCTTTCCCTTTTGTCGTGATAGCGACAAAAATGTTACGTGACCTCGCGCCTCTTTCTCTGCGAAGTCGGAAGCAATCTGTGTATACATGTACATACATAGACGTGTGTATATTGACGATCGTGACAGATGCGTTGTATCATTCCAAATAAAGTTTCGCGATAAACGATATATAATATATGTGTCTCTCTCGATTGGCGGGACACGTGGGTTTCTCGGCGCCATTAAGAGCATTTCCGTGTATTTATTATATGAAGCATTGAAATTTATATAGACTCGAGTCATAGAAAGCTAGCATTAGGACAGATTGAAAGAGTGATCTTTATTTATGTAAAAATAATTTGTTTTAACTTGCTCGTTACGATGTAATGTATTGCACAATTTTTCAACAACACACGAACGTTATAAAAATATATTTAGAGGAAACGTTTTAGATATTCTTTCGTTTGGACGGCTAGAAGTATTATAGTTACGGAACATTCCTCAAATAGAATTATTTCGTTAACCAACTTTTAATTATAAAAGTGTGACTTGAGTCTCTATTATTTCTCAATGCTTTATTTCGGTCGATTACTTCGAAGAACATATTCCGCAAGGCTGCGCGCGCGCGCGATATTAGTTTTTAATTTACATATAAATATACGTAGAAGTTACATATTGTAATTAATAACGAAGTACACAGCGTTAATTTATATCGTCCTAGTATGTCTGTTTCCGACTGCTTATTTCGATTGCTTATGTCGATTAGCTTTGATCACGAGCATTCCTGCACGATTCAGGGGTTAAAAATATCTACTGTTATCACATATTTTCGGCCTTCAAATAATGTCCTTTAATTTATTAACCTGCGCACAACACCGTTTATTTAAATTTTACTTCGAAGACTTGATGTAAAAAATGGACTGGAAATCAATTCATTATCTTATATCCTCAATTTAAAAAAACTCAATATCAAAATTTCAATCTTTTAAAAAGCTAAAAATATCAATAGACATATACATATTTATGAGAAGTAAAACAGATAAAGGATATTTTTTCTTCCTTTTTTTAAACAAATAAAATATTGTTTTCATGAAATTTTAATTCTTTCTTTAGTATTTATAGCTTTTTTACATCAAGACTTCTTTAATTTTAAACGACACCTCGCTACGTTTCGTAATATGCAACGTACACACTGTCGCAGAAATTCTATCAAGACACTGATATATTACACCGATAAGAGGACCGATTCTCGATAAGACTTTTTCGTTTTGATATTTTCATTCTTGTATGATGTACGGTGGATTACCGTACCTCGAAGCACGACGATTGTATTATTATTTTTGCAAGTGCAAGCTCGTTAAAAGTATGCTGTGATATGTGTGCTATATAATGAAGACTTTGACAAATGATCCGAGCGATGAAAGTCACTTCCAAGCACTCCGTCGTGCATCGAAACGGACTTGTGACGATTACACATGTAACTAATTAGTTTCTTATTTATAGGCAACAACCGAAGCCGGCCTGCGACACACCAGACTATAATTCATCTAATAATTCTGCAAAAAAAGGGACGGATGAATCTAAACGAATCGAAAGAAAATTCTTTTCTGTCTGCAATAATTATCTAATCTTCAAAATCGGAGATTGAAATCTTTTAATTTTATTTTATCTTTTTCTTGTGACATACTTAGCACTTGATATACGATATAATTGAGCCACGCATTGTAGGAATTTAACGTATCTATAAATTTTTCGAATAAAAAATTTATTTTTCTCAAGTTTTTTATCTCTTTTAGCGAGAGAAATAGGAAAGAATTCAACGATTTAATTTTTAATTTAGCACATCAGGATTTTGTAAGATAAATTTATATCGATTCTTTTACATTCATCCTCTTCTTTTGCGGAGGAGACCGCGATCTATAAAGTTCCTATTTCATAAGCTAAAAGGCGAGCTCCGCGCGCTGAAAGCGCCTGATTTTCCGGCCGATGATTGATTCCTGGTGGGAATGCGTTCTCGGTCCTTACACAGGACGAAAAGCTCGTCGATCAACGAGTCTGAATAGGATTGTATATTGACGGACGTTTGCGTGATGAGTTAATATATATTTAAAGTCGATAGGAGGGATTCACGCGATTTCTTTTTTCGGATATGGGTATGATTGAAATTTTCTTTGAAAATTTGTGATGTTTTTAAGATGAAACTTGATTATGTATCTATACTTAATTGATTTCAGATGTGATCGGCACAAAACCGATTTAACAATATATATTATTTTTTTTCAAAGTCGCAGCGACGTCCTTGCCATCATGTAAATGTAAAAGAGCGGGAAACTTTCCTTCGTCTGACATGTATCGAGACGAAAGTAAGACGGATAATTCTCCGATATTATAAATCGCGTTGTTCTATAATAAAGCCACAGATGACATTTTTGCGAACGATTAAATAATGAGTACGCCTCTCAAACTGCTATAACAGAAGATATTTAATTGTTTATTAGATGATCAATTGCATGCAAAACAATCGTTTTAGAAGAATATAATAATATGCATTTTTTTCCTTTTTATAGCGATATATCCTGACAAATAATTACTATTAAAATATTAACATACATATGTCTCGTCGTTCTTCATTATATCAACAATATTTTTCATATTAAAAATTGTGCAAAAAAAAAGAATTGTGAATAGTGTGTTAAAAAGAACTAATGTCCTCTTATATACACAAATTACATGTCTTCTGTTAGGAGCATTTTGAGCAACGAAAAAAATGCCTCTTTAATTTATTAGTTTGAACTCGGATCGACCAGTGGCTTTCTGCGGTTTGGAAGTAGAAGGACAGGTGTTCCTATATATTTTAGTGTCATACGACACTTCCTTCGGCTTTCACGCCTATGAAACGATTTTTCGATCGGTCTAGAGTTTCAAGGTATGTGAACGAATTATGTACAAACGATTTACATTGAATAACCGGTTGATATGCATAATCGATTATTCGCAATTCCGCATAAAAAGCGGTAGATGCGCAATGTAAAAAGAAAAGAAGACGGCGTGTCTCTCGAGTGAGATTGCGAGAGCGCGCTTAATTCAGATATATATATAAATAGTAGCGACTTGGTCCAGCTGATTATATACATCCTCATTCACCGATAAATAACCGAGTCTAGCATCTCTCTGGCAGTTTTTTATGAGACCTTTCCACGGCAAAGAGCTTTATGGCATCGCGTCAGATCTGTACTGTACTTCTCGGCGCATTTCTCTTTGTTTGTTTATAAGCGTGTACATTCTTTGTAATTGTAAATGAAAAAAGACATTTCATTGTTAAAACTTGTGTGTTTTTTATTCCGCATTTAATTATTTTTCCTCTTCCTACAGTTCTTTCTCAACGTGTCTTTATGTCTCTCTTGTCCATAAAATTTTTCTAAAAATTCAAGATTAATGACAATCATATAAAAGATTCATTATCTTTTTATCTTTATTATTATTGTTAAAATCTGATACATTAAAACAAGTTAATAATTTATTTCTATGAAAAAATCAGAGAGGCAGCTTATTTTATATATTAAAATTAAAATACTATGATATGTTTCAAGGTATTTTCAAAAAGTAATATTGAAATTATTATAATTCTACAGCCAATCACGTATCCAGAATGCGCATATTGATCTGTTAAAAGTTGCTGTAGTCTTTTTTTTTTAGATATAGATTGTACGATAGAAATTTCTCTGGTGACAGTCTGGAAATGTCCGAATGGTTCCGTAAAGCATTCATTTCCTGGAAAATTCATTATGACGAAGAAGCTACAAATAATGCGGGTGGATAATGACCTGGTGCAAAAGGCGAATTTGCAGATCGGAAATAACATAATCGGCCGAGGTGCTGCGACAGGAGTGAGTTATATCATTCTTATACATCACCGAGGGATATTTGTTAATTAATTTAATTATAAGACATCATGCAAATAACATTATTGCATATATGTGTGCCTAATTAGATTTGCCAATGGAAGATTCTTTATAATGCAATAAAGATTGATTTTTTCATAATATTGTAATCGATTAATTATACATTATATAATAATAATAATAATTATAATTGATGATTGAATTTTGCATGACTCTCTCTGAACTTTTTCTTAAAATCGAGTTAGTTAGCATTATAGGGAAGTATTCTAACGAAAACATGTAATTTCAATCACATAATCTCAGATCTCATCAGATGATTCAAGATTATGCTCTGAAAATTTGAAATTTGCCACTTTGATGACGTCGCGAGATCACGTGCTTCGATAATAGAAATCAATAGATGCACGTAGCTTGTACTTTTTATATAAACAACATTTCGATCGGTAATGTCATCGTTCTTCAATTATCTCCAGAACTATCAAGTTTGATCGTTCGATGCGCATCTTCGATACTGTTTCGTTGATGATTGAGTATCGCGCGGCGCAGTTAATATTTGGAATGCAAGTTGTATCATAATTAATAATTTACAGTATTCTGGTTTGTATTAGTATTCGATTGCATACAGATACTTCTAAACAATCAATTGTTTTAATAGGAAAAATAGATTATTAGGAAAATATAATAAAATTTTGAATTAATAAAACGGATCATTAACAATTTCATTGGCGATCCTTGATTACACACATCATCGTGCATTCATTAATTGATTAAAGATATAAATCTTGCATATCATAGCAGCATCTTTTGCAAAACTTACGAATTTCTGTCATTGCAGTGCAATGATGACCAAATGTTCAAGCATGCTATGACCATCAATTTGTCACCAAATGATGAAATGACAATTAGTCCGGTAAGGTCTCTAATTTCGCATGTTTCTTTTATACAATATTTACTGATATTTTAATTTTCATTATTAATTTCTATGATAATTCAGTAACAAACAATGATAGCAATGATTTATAGTACAATAATTTTCATATAATGTAGAATTGTGTAATATAAATTTATTTTTCTGTTTTCAAACATATTGCTGCGTAATATTGAGTTAGTGTTATGTCAGTCTTCTATAGAGATCATTTTTCAGTATTAGGTGGTGCCATGTTATATGAAACAAGCTGGATGTGCACGATGGCAATTTCTTAAATTGGGAAGTAGTGTGCCGATAAAGGCAGGTGACGTCTGCTCTCTGCTGCCTGATAAATGTTGGTTTAAGATCATCTCGATACCAGACATGATGGAAGAAAATGATCAAATATTAAAGAGAAAAGTACAAGAAATTAATATAATTATAATTGACGTTTGAAAGGAATTCTATAAGATATTAAAACATTCCACAGGCTAATGAAAATTTGAGTAATGAAGTGGACTGTAAGAAAGAATGCTTGTCATCCAATGTGGAAGCTATTGTATCTCCTAGTAAAACTTTGACTGATGTGCAAAGTGATAAAGATATGTTAAATGAGCATCAGAATTCTTCCGTTAATGATGAAAATAGTGAGCACAATGATGGCACTGTTCCAGTTTTACAGGAAATCTATTTTGCAAGGTATTATATCCATTAAAATCAATTTAATAATAAGAACATAATTATTTATTTTTTGCATATTTGAATTTCAGCTCTTTAGAGGGAAGTAATATGCCTGCAACATGTTCTAAAATGGCACCAGATCAAGAAATAACTGAACCTTGTGTCAAGCAACAGAATGATAAGAAACGGAAAGCAAAGAACATTAACTTAGCGAATAAATCTGCAACAGATGTTGAAGCAGGAAAGAAAATTAAATTGGATTGCAATGTTCATTTCAGTGATCAACCCAAAATTCAAGCTTTGCCAACACAGAATAATTCTCATTCGCCAGTTGCCTCGCGTCAGGATCAAACCAGTGCATTAAATGCCGGTAGAACTCCTAGAGAAAAATGTATGTACGGTGGTCGATGTTATCGGTAAGTAAAATAATACAATGTTATCTCTCAAAATAATTTTGTTAAATATAATCTCGATGCCAAAAGTATGAAACATTTTTAATAATTTATTTGCAGGAAAAATCCTAATCACAAGAACAATTACAGTCATCCTGATGATTCCGATTACGAAAAGATAGATGGTCGAGAAGAGTGTCCGTATGGTATAAAGTGTTATCGTAAAAATCCTCAGCACAAAATGCAATTTAAGCATACAAGTGTACCACATCGCCGTCGAAGAGCTGCCACCCCAATGCACTCAGCGATCATCGATATCACATCCGACAATTCATCTGCAGAGGAGTCCGTCGACGAATCTGATTACGAACCGTCTGTATATACAGAAAGTTCAGATGACTTAGACGACGAAAGTAGAAGCGAGTGGGAGGATGGCACAACAGGCTGACAACAAATATTGCCTTCGTCGATTTCGACGTATTTTGGAGAACGTTTAAATTATGGATGTTTTTATTGGTAATTCAGTTATTTTATTATCAAATATTTATTTTCTACTCTGAGAAGGATTAGAATATTATACCTGCATCTATTTTTTTAATGTGAAAAAGAATATAAAAGTGTTAATAATACATCAATTGACGTGTACATTTTTACATTCTGTGTCAGAAAAATATATGAATATATTAATCTGATGCATTTTTTATCTGAATAATCAATATAGTTTCACAGTCGTTGTTCTTATCAATTAATTTAATTAATTTTAATTATATAAATTAAAGCACATTAATCCATTTTTAATTTACCAAAGCAAATATATATTAAGCATATATATTATTATGGATTAACTATTTCTATCTTGCATCAGATTGATAAGTTTGCATTAATTCACAATAATTTGAATCAAACATTGTTCTGTGTACTAGAATGCTTGATATCCTTCATCATCTTCAGTGGTGTATTCCTCAGCAGCTACAATAGCAACATCAGCCAGCATATGTTTCGGAATTTCCGATCCTCGTACTTTGATAGTATAACATGCATTCTCCATTTTGGTTAGGCTTTGCTTCAGCGTGAAGATTTTTTTGTTCATTTCATTGCTGAATGCTACACTCGTGTAACCCAGGAAAGCCACGTATATTTTTCTGACAAAGTTACACGTCTGATAACAACTACTTATATCACCCAGAGCTAAGTTATTGATACACTTCCGCATTAATTCTCCAGTTAGGTCAGCTATTCCCAGGATGTAATCTGTCGGTGTGACCATGACTTTTCTAATGATGATCTGTTCTGTTGAATCGACTGGAATCGTATCATATGTTAGTGCTTTTTCGAACTGTGTCAAATCTTGCATTTCACTATTTTGCAAATATTTGTAAAATGTGAGCGCTTCTACATATTCTTCCAAACCAGCACGATAAGCTCTATGGAATTGATAGGCGTCTTGACCGTTCAACTCATCCGCAATATCTCTGAATAGTTTCTGAGCCATGTTATCCAGTCTCGACTTGGCCGCGTCTAGAACGACATTCCGTTTACTCTCTTTATCAATAGTGTGTAGCAGAAAGATTATTCTTTTGCTCTCAATGCCTATATCTCGATTGATCTTGAAGATCCTTTCGTAACGGTCGTGTTTGGCGTCCAATTCGGCCGCATAAGCGCGAAATTGTTGTACTACAACATTGTTTTCGTCTATGTTCTCCACCACTTCCTTGCCCTTGTCACCCAGATTGATCTTGTCCTTATCATAATGTCCGCGATGTCTTCTCCCTCCTGCAAACGACAATATTTTGTAGTTGATAGTAAAATAGCAGAATATTTAAAAAACTAAATATATAGTTATAAATATATAGAGAAATTTTGTTGCAACAAATGCTAAAGAAAAATTAAATTTCAAAAATATGTGAAGTACCTAATAAATTAATTAAGACAAAATATTTCTCTTAAAATCAGGAAATTGAGTTCTTAATACAATATTATTCAAATGCTAACGTAGATATTTGTTTGATTACTATAATAATAAAACAATATATAAATAATATTTTTGGAAGATTTGCAGCTTTAATAAAATTCAAATATTTTTCATAAATAATATTTGTGAAACAAAAATATCTTCTTAATATTTATATTTCAAAAACAAATAGCTTGAACTTGAATACAAATAGAAAATAAATTTAATTCTTTTCTCCTAATTAAAACCCAATTTTAATGAAATAGTATTAAACACTGACATGATTTGAGATATATAAAAATATATCTTTAATGTCAGAGCATAATTTAATATAAGAAAATTATAAGCTTTGCTGCTACATTGACATAACCTATTTTCTCATGGAAATAAAAAAAAATTAATTTAAATTTAGATTCTCAATTTGAAAATAATTTCGAAAGTTTTTAAAAAGTGAATTGTATGTATCATTATTATGTACTAAATTTTTGACAGCTGTCATGTAGCTGATAATCATTATCATGTGGAAGATTGATATTATTAACAAAAACTGAAGATGTGACAGGATATAAAACAAAAGATGAAGTATAACAAATTTACCTTTTCCTGACATTGCGATTTCTCTTGATAATTGTTTGTTAATAGTAATAATATAGAGAATATGAGTTGATTTGCAAATTGTTTTTACGTGACATGATGCTAGCAGACGACTTTTGGCAGTTCTCGATCAGTCTGGATGCTCTACAACGATAGATGTCGCCACTGTATGTAGTCGATATGTCGATTCGATATATCGAACAATACATATTCGATAGTTTCGAAGTGTGGTAAATGAATACATTCATTGCATTCGTGGCGTGGAAAGTGGAAAACGGTTTTTTGTGCCGGAGTTATCGAGATCGTATAAATATCTGTGTTGTTTGTTCTGTTAATATTTTGCAAAGTCGATAATAAACGTAACGATAGCGGCAATGAAAATAATTATTCTTTGATATCGAGAATTAGTGCGAACAGAAGAAATCTCGGTTCTTTTTGTTATTTCAATATTTGGTCTCCGAATTTACTGAAGAAAGAGAGAGAGAGAAAGAGAGGGAAAGAGAAAGCAAGAGAGACACGAACTTTGAAAACTTAATTTGCGAGGGTAGGTTATTAAAGTATTCTATGTCAAAAGTTAGAAAAGAACGAAGAACGATGACCACCGATCAAACTTTTATTAAAAAAAAAATTGACTTTAAGTTTGTTGAAGAACGCAACCTTACTGATGTTCTTCATACTTAGATGAGCAGCTTGTGTGTAATGTGCCATATAACTTTTTTAATTCATCTACTTTGTCGGCACGTGTATTTTAGAATAGAAATCATTTTAAACGGATATAGAACGCTAATATTTAAGCGGAAACGAAATATAGTAAATATTTTTTCCAAGTATCACAACCATTTATGAAATGATTACTAATTTTAATTAAAATATTTATAAAACGTTAGTTAAAATTTAAAGAAAGAAAAAATGAGAGAGAGAGAATATTTTATTTTTATATTTTAAATATTATTCAAAATTAACAGAGGAAATGTTATATTAACAAATATTATATAAGCATCACAAATAAATATCTTTTACATATTAAAATTAAATTTCATATTAAAATTAAAATACGATTAATTATATATTTATTAAAAAATTAAAAATATAATTAGCTCGAATCCAATTATTTTCTAAAATAAAATTACTCTTTGAATAAAGAGAAAATATTCGACATTTATGCAATTAACATGGTAGCAAACTGATTTTTTTACAACTGACATTAAAATTTAACATTATCGCGTTTTTAATAAATAGTTTTCAGATCTCTTTTTAAAAAATACGATCTATTCAAGTTATTCGGAACATTTACAGCAAGTTTCACGAATCGAGAAGATTGGAAACCTTTCGAAACTTTCCCCGAAATGTCCTTCAAATCTTATTTGTAGAAAATATTTGTACCAGACATGCGAATGTAGTTCTGAATCTATTGACCGCAAATACCGAACAAGCGAAGGCCGGAGAGCAAGATTGAGGGTAGTGCTCGGGGTTGGATACAATGTCCGGCGTAGAATTCAGTAGGGATGAGGAACGAGGGGAATGGTTTGGAATTAATCAGTACCGGTCTTCGGTAAATAACCGTAACGAGGATCCCTCGGTCAACTCGGCAAACTCTCTAAGAATTTAAGGAAAGACTACACACACCGAGAAGCCGATAGATAATGAAGCTCGAGCTTCCCTGATAGCATTCGAGGAACGGTAGTAATTTATTTGGCAGAATAGATTACCGTGTTCTCTTCTAGATATATATATTCAAGGATTGTATAAAGATTTATTGGTCAAATAATTTCTTTCTTATAATATTTTTTAATAAAAATTAAATGAGTTGATAGGAAATTTATTTCATGAAATATTGAATTTTTAATTTTCGAAAATAGAGAGATTGTCTTTATAATTGTGTAGCTCTCCTCGCTTCAATTTTCTCTCTTTTATCTGCCCCTATATTTGCTTATTTAAATTTTTTTTTCTAATTTTCATATAAATTCAAAATTAAGATATATTAAAGTGAATTTTTTCATTTTTAGTTACTAATTTCAAGAGTTAGTCTTAAAAAAAAATAAACAGTGAAGAGGATGAAATAAAATTATTTATCAATAGTAAGTCAAGGCTCTTCGTAAATTATAATAAATTTGATAAAAGGCTGTTAAGAGCAGAACTCTTAACAGCCTTTTATCAAATTTATTAAAATTATTTATATATACAATATACATATATTTGATATTAATTATTAACCATACAGCTAATTAGCAGAATATATAAATGAATAGGTAGATATTTGTAGATTGTTTACCTGAGTTGTTGGAATATTATTGATATCGTATATGATAGTAAATTTAATAAAATTATATTTCATGTTATGTGGTTACAATTCTATGGTTATAATAATAGATGAAGTTATATATTATTAAATTAGAAATATTAATTAAATTACAAAATTGAAATTACTGCTCTTTCTTATTTTAATTAACAGATAACAAAACTACTATAAACTAATTAGAAATATAAGTTATTTTAAATTAATATTATATATATATATATGTACAAAGAAATAATAAATTATGTAGATTTTTTTTAGATAATAAATTGTCTAATAAAATTATTAAAAAATATTTGAAGATAAATAAATTAATTAGTGATATGAATCATAATTATTCATTAATATATTAATTATCATTAATATTAATATATTTTTTACCAATAATTTTGAAATAAATAATAAACTTTATATTTTAAATATTTTTACTTTATTTTATAATGTATTTATTTGTGTTATATTATATTTATTATGTTTTATAAATGTATAATATTTTATTACATAGATAATTATTTTAATATTAATTATAATAAATTACAGGTACCGAAGAGCTGTTTGATCGCACCAGCTGGTTACGTGTAATGAAAGTACTGTGCTTGAAAGTGTTTTTCTTATCCTCCCGAGAGACCAGCCCGAGGACGTATCTATTCGACACTGGGATTTTTCTGCGCGACATTCGTCGACTGCCTGATCCTGTAATCTCTGCGATAAGAAAAATTAGGAAAACCACATCTCTGCGCGGACAGAATCAGGTAAGAGTAAATTACATTGCAAACTCCACATCTATTCTGGAGATTTCAAGGGATCTTTTCCCGAACGATAGACCATTCGCCCGCTGATTGCGTTGCATCGCAATAGAGATTGATAAACGCCGCCTCCAATTAGCGTCTGGTACCGCGCAACTCGCGTACCTCTGCATATAAATTATCTTTCGCCAGTTTTGAAGGAAACTTCGCCGACTTCCTCTCGCCGATGATTTATGTCCGCATCGTTTAACAAAGTTTTTATTCGCGGTTGAAATTGTAAGGATGATTTATACGCATGCCATGGATTTTGCAAGGGTATTTCTTCGACACAAAAATGCTCGCGGCATTTGAAGGTGCGGCGCGTTTGTATGTACCAAAAGAATAAGGATGCGTTCTTTTCAAAGTCCTATGAATACTACAGTACCATAAGACTTTTTGCATAAATAAAGGATTTTGAAATCTCTTTTAAAATATTACAAATACTTCACGTACAAATAACATATATAATTTAAAGTTTAATTTTGATTTTCGGAAATATAAACGAATTGTAAATTGATCATTTTTCTACGAATACTTTGCTAGATATCAGTTTTTTTAAAAATTGCGATGAACTCTGCAGGCAGTGCTTGCGCTTTCCGGAGTAGACTCGCGGCAAGATGTAAGTTTGCATATATAGAGTTTTGAGCATGTAAATGTACCACGGCAGACACTCGCGACGGTTGTTGAGCGAGTTTGTACGCGCAAACTTAAACGCGGCCAAACGTGAAATCATAAAAGTTTTAGTTCTAAGATGTAACGGTAGAACCAGAAGCGCCAGTTATAGCCAAGCCAATGTCACAGTGTATTTTAAGCCGTAATCGCTCGAAGGATTAAACTCTTGCTCGGATCTTCCAAATTCGTTGTTTGAGTTTGGTCTTGATCCTCACGCGATTTATACGTCTAACTCCTTCAGAAGGGTCGTCACCTCACGCGCGATTCAGGATATTTATTCTCGCTGCAGAGTGTGATTCTGATCCTTTTTATTTTTCCAATTAATTAATCTATTAAATAAACATACATTTTTTAATATATAAATTTTTCATACACAGCACGCGCCCGTGTATGTGTGTGTGTAAATATGAATCCATGTGTCTATTAATTAATTTGCAATCGATTGATTGAAAACTATTGTACTTATATCTATCGCACGCTTTTATCCGTTATTATTCAGATAGGTAAAGGATGTTTAAACGCAGATCGAAGCAGAGTAAAGAGAAGAAGGGATAATGCATGCGAATGGCAGACGATGTACTTTGCATCTTCAATGGCCAATTACGTGCTCAGTTTAAAATATAGCTTGAAACTCAGCCACTTTAAAGTGCTATATTTCCAATAAATCTCAAATATATCATAGTTTATGTCATTTGTTGAACGTAAAAGATATATAAATATTTTTCCCTGATAACATTTTTCCCTGATATTTTTAACATACATATATACAAAAATTCTATTGCTTCAAACATTTTAATTAAGACAAATTTATCCATAAATTAATCAGAAAATTAGATCTTAGAAAATAAGAAATTCTCGACATAATATTCCGTGCCAACTAACGCTATGTGTCATGAATAATTGAATTACGGCAATAACTATCCACGCATTTAACAGCAATGAACCATCAAGACGGTTCAACGGGAAAATAAAAGAACCGAATAAGAGCCCTCAGGAGAGAAAAACGCGTTCAAGTAGATTCTTGCTTCACAGCCAGGAAGGGCGGCATGAAAAGAGATCGGGAAGATGTTGCTAGTTCCTCGCCGCGATGCAGTTATGCTTTATGCGATTTACTTCATGATGCCGCTCTCGTTGCGCTTTCTTTGCAGGATAACGCGTATACGCCACACTGTCGCCGCCCGCAGGAAGAAAACGTGTATTGCCCCATAAAAGCGGCAAAAGAGAGGAGAATCTTTGAATAAGTAGATAAGTTCGCGCGTTTGTGTAAGATAAACGCCAGATTTTCCACGCGATCTCGCTTTACAATTTACGAGACTAATATCTCTTTGAAAAATTCGATGGCAGACAAAAAAATAAGAAAAAAATAAAAAAAAGTAATCTATAGGTTTTCATAAAATTTAGAAAAATTGAATGCAATGTTAACACGGTCAGATTTAAAAATCTAAAAGTCTAAAAGATATGCAAAATAATAGTAGGTCAGCAAAATAATATTTTTAAAATTTGATATAATTCTAAAAATATTATGACCTACTGTTATTTTGCATTCTCTTTCTCTCGTTTATGCATAAATATGCACATATACAATATTCCAAAATTTTGTTATATTATTTTTTAATCCAAATACATTTATATAGTAATTTTTATATGTAATTAGATAAAAAAATCTTTTATTTTACATCTTATTGCTTCGCGAAAAATTGATTAATAATACGTTTCACAAAAAATGATTCGCATATCTATAAAAATGATAAAAATGATGATCGTCGCGGATAAAAATGAGAGCCAGTATAGAAAGGATATAACACGAAATTGATGTGTTTTATTTATATACAATATTTACAAAGGCGTAGTGTGAATCAAGTGGCTATATAAATGTCTTTGGTACGCTTAAACGCGCGCAGAAGCGTGTGGCTTCATCTCCTTCACCTCCCAGTCTACAGTCTCCATCAGCCATGGTCTAGGGGCCTGCTATACCCTGTTGAACGATAGTCGACGATCCGGAAGTTAGGTGATGCAGCAGACGTCTGCAGCTTCCCATCCATCCGTCTAGAACGTCGCGCCGACCGCCCACTTCTCTTAATGTCCCGGTGTTTGACCCTTAAATGCAGCTCTCCTGAATACTCCTGCTGATCGACTCCGAGTGCGGCCTTTGGAGACTGTAGAATGTCTGAAGTAGACCGAGAGATAAAAATAGAATTAAAGTGAAAGTAAAAGATAAAAGAGATTACAGACAATAAAATTATTGTCAGATTGTGTGATCGTGAGCGAGAAATATTTCGATATTAAGATTTTGCACAGCAGAATTTGAATTTTGTAAGCTAACAAAATTATTAACAATTTTATTTAAAAAAAAATTTTTTTTTAAATTGTATTAAAAAAAATATAAGAGAAAAATATGTGCAAAGAAATACCTATTCGTACATTATGATACTATTGATATTCGATATGATATCGATGACTATTGCCGGGTTGAATCGAGTTTGAAAGACATTTGTCTACGGGTTAAAAGACCTGTCTCGATGGAAATATACGATACCACTTAGAAAAATGTAGAAGCGACGACCGGGAATTGAATTTGATCTATCCGCAGAAAACTTATCTTTTTATTTACTTGGACCAGTATGGAATTTTTATAGCACGTATTTTTACGGATATTTTTATAATACTATAGAATAATATACATATATCGTCGGCGACGTATCTCACGAATTTTCGATACGATGACAAAATTCAAAATTGAAAAGTATACATTCCCGATAAATAAACCTTATTGCAATCATTATGCACACAAACTATATATTCATTAAAAACAAATTACATCAAATTTATTCTTTAAGAAATCCACATTTTATACAATATAGAATTACATAATTTATCGAGTCCAATAAAGTGACATTTTCGTAGAAAAGAACAAAAAAAAGAAATATTTTAAACTTTAAATATTTCAGCATATTTTCAAAATAGTTGAAATTTAATGACAAACACATAATAAATATAATACTATATCTCGACATAATTATATTTTTTCCTTATCCAGAATAAATGCGTCAGACACAATGGACACGTTTTCTCGCTTACTAAATCTGACTTGCAAGAAAACAAGCGATAAGTAGAATCGTAAAATAAATCGTATCAAATTTAAAAGTGTGAAAGTTTTCTGTGTTTGGAATTATTAAGAAGGCACATATATAGATATATGCATTCACTCTAAATTTTTAAAATCAGAGAATCCTATAAATTTCTACAATTTCGCACTTTTTTAAATATTTAAAAAATTTTCACATTTATCTATTGCTTTACTTTAAAAACATATCACAAAAGACATTTTATATGTATAAAAGCATGCAATTTTTTAAATTACTTTAATAAAAAACATTTATGTTTTATATATTTTAATTAGATTTTTGCAAAGCAATTTGCTTTGATTTAAATGATTAGAGATGGATATCAGAAAATCTCATAAAAAAATACTTAACTCCAATTCTGGCACAGTTTCACTATTGATTTTTTTTGCTTTGGAGAATCTTGGCATTTAAAAGTATTTCTTGGCATTTAAAAGTATTTTCTCCTAAGAGGCTAGCCTTTAAAATTTAGGAACTAATGCCTTATCGGATTACTCACATTCGGCGATGCTCTCGGATAATCTGAATCTTCTAGGACATCGTGGGACATTTCACGTCCTTCCAGTTGACGTGGTCTTCGTGGTAGAGACCCGTAACGAGGAAGCTTTCTGTCTGGAAGAAGTGCCGGGACGGATTTAGCGTCAATCGTATAATCGGTTTGAAGTAAGCTCGCGGATTTCGTAAAGTATTTTGAACTTCTCTCTTAGTGGCAACTTTAGCAACTTTAGCTCGCTTCCTTCTCGCGAGAGGCGGCACTCTCAATTGCTCCTTACTGTTTTGTTTGCGAAAGCCGAAAGTTTCACGGCTTGCGAAGGGAAATTGAAGATGTCCGGAAGTATCGGGGGGAAATGCTTCTATTTCGGACATTGCGGGGAAAACTGAGAAACCGCATTTGAGAGTTTATCGATAACAATAAAAAAAAAATAGCAAAGTGTTTTCTTATCCTTCGAATAATCTGTATTTGCTACCTGACTGGCGAATATTTCATTCGAAGCATGTTGCTGTAATACTATGATTATTCAATATTTTCATTCAATTGCTGCTAAATTTTGTGGAAAATATGAAATATTAAAATTTTATATTATATGTATCATTTTATGTATGAATTTAATTTTCACAAAATATATTTATTAAATTATAAGGAATATTATATCATAGTTATAATTGATTTAAATATCAGTGAAAATTTGAGGTTTTAAATGAATATAATAGGAATTTATTTTTATACATGTTTCACGAATTCGACATTTATATAGGTTCAGTGTAATTATTTTTTATCATAATGCGTATATTTAATTCTTTTAAAAATATTAATTTAAGTTATAATTACACGAAAAAAATAGCTATCATAACTTTAAAATTATAGCTGCCCTTATATTACAATCTAAAATTTAGTTATCATGTCTAAATTTTAGCTATGTTAATTAATATTTTTTAGCTATAGTTTAACAGAAAATTCTAAAGCTAAAAATATTAATCAAAATTTTATGTGTAATATAGGAACAGTTAAACTTTAGCTATAGTAGCTAATTTTTCCCCGTGATAATATATTATATTTTGAATCTCGAGAAATGAGACTGTGATCTAAAATTGCTGTGTGAAACACTTTGCCTATTTTGAAACTACCTATATATAATAGATACAATCCTCTTCCGCATAGATTATACAGAACGCATACGTATTCCTATGTGTATACGTATGCATATGCATATATTCCCATGCTTCGTGTGTATGCATATGCCGATACGCCAAAGCTGTCGGTGTACCATATGCGCAATTTTCTTGAGAGTATCATTAATGCACGCTATCCTGTCTAAGGCAAAACCCGATATTCTTGAAATTCTCGTATAAATGCGGCAGTTTCATCAGTCTAAGTAGAAATTCACCGAATGAGATGGCCGGTTATGCCCGGATGATATGCCTCCGGTCCTTTCTTAAAGGGGCGCTTGTAAGATTTAAATGGTAAATCCCTATCTCAACGTTTTGTAATTTGATACAATGAATTTTCTCGCAATGTTTCACGAACATTCTACTAATTGTAAAAAGTTAACGAATTAAAAGAGATTGGGACGGGAGATTTTCTTCTTATACAAAATTACACAACTGTTAAAAAATTCCGAGATTTATCTTTCTTCATCCATTGTAATGTTTTCTCGAATTAAAATCTCATGCAATTTTTTAAATTAATACATTGCAAGATTGGAGATGAATAAAAAAGAAAGTACGAACATTCTTGAAATACCTATTCTAAATTTTACAAATCAATTTCTGTGTCTCAAGTGTCTTAATTTAATTTATTTTTTACGGCAATTTTTTTATCAATTATCGAACACGATTAATTGGGCAAACTTACCGGTGAGATGATTGGTCAAGGCCGTTGTAGGTATAAGATCCGGATTGCCGTCCTCCTCCTCGCCCTTTCCCGCGAAAGTCGCAATGCTAGGCTGCTGGGGTGGCTTCGGCTTCGCTGGGGTGGCCGCGTGCCTCCTCCAGAGCGCCATTAGTACACCGGTCACGATTAACCCCAAACCGGTCGCTGTGCCACCAAGTCCAATCAAGATCGGTGACATATCGACCGAGGACGTCGATTCGCCTGTGAACGAAATCTCTACTCTAGTCCCACCAGTCCATAAATAATGTATCCCACGTGGTGGCAATCTCCTTCGGGCAACTCTTATGTAATAGGGTTGTCAATCTAGATGCGCGTCGTATATATCTACTAGTAATAGATCATACGGAGAGAAACTATATTTTTTATTTATTATTTATTATATATGTAATGTTATCATATATTGTCATATATTAAATGCTGGTATCACTATTGTCTTTCTAATCCTTCATCTCCATCGTCACTGACAAATTATTGTTACGATCACAATATCAATTATCGAAGGAAATCAATATTTCCTTCTTTCATCAATCATTGTCTCAATAATTAATACTGTACTCATATATATTTGAAAATTTCTTTTCTTTGATATACGCTTCTATCAAGTACAGAAAAAAAAATTGGTTTGCTATCCCTATATTAAATACAAAATTTAGTTATCATGCCTAAATTTTAATTATAACAGCTAATATTTTTCAACTGTATCATTTCCCCGTTAAATTACAGCTGAAAAGTATTAGTTACCACAGTTGAAATTGAGGCATGATAATTAATATTCAGGTTGCAGTATAGAAACATAAAGTTAAAATTTAGCTGTAGTAGCTAATTCTTTTTCCGTGTACGTTCTTTTTTCGATCATAAATAGTAACATTTCTCTTTTAGCTCCTTTCATTAATCAATCAATCAATCCATTTAACGTCTGTTTCTCTTATGTTCCTTCCGCTCGACAAATCGCTACATTCGCGTATATATACGTTCGCCTGCTTAAGATTTCGCGCAGTAGTTGCGGTCAACCGCGGATCAGACGCGAGCGAGCGTTCCAATTTACCTGTCCGACATCTCTCGTTCTCGGCAGGTTCCTGCGGACCTTCGCTCGGCACGAGCCGTAATCTGTTTCCAATTAAGGCACGGCGTTGGAGTCGATCGTACCGAACTTCGTGGCAGGTTGCATTACGGTGGCCTAACGCTGCGGCTGATTTGTGAGTCGCTCGCTTTACGAGGCGCAAGAACAGGCAAGAGAGAGGGAGTCTGAGAGCTGTGCGGATTAGGAATAGCTCCGGTTCTGCGGGAACGACGCGCCCGACGCCCGCGTCGTTTCCGCGCCGTCGTTAATCATTCGGCTTTAAACCGCGGAACGGGTGTGCGTGTACGTGTGCGAGCGTGATATACACCGGGCGTCTCGAAATTACTGCTCTTCTTCGGCTAAAGCTCTCTCTCTCTCTCTCTCCCCGATAAAGGCTGATTTACTCGGCAAAAATCCCATCGGCAATAATTTCCTGTGACTTGATTCGAAAAAGGCTAACTTAACATTTTGGAATAATGCAACACGCGTGCTTTCTGTAATTATGGAAAAAATGATATTTCCATATTCTCTCTTATGAAACTTTTTGCGCGATAAAAGCGGGAAAATTTTACCAAATTTTAATTGCTACGTAGTTTGAAAGTATCCCATACACAATTTACCGCACTTTGCGAATATAGCTAAAGCTTTTATATTAAGATTCTATTAAAGTCTGCTTGAAATTAACCGAAGATTCTAGATATGTCACGTTTGCAATCAGAAGATTACGTAGAATATACCGGGATTCCTACTATTCCAACTTATACATTTTTAGCCAAAGAACTTTGTTTCATAATCTCAAAAAATTTTCAAAATTAAACATCTTGATAATTAAATCTCAAGTTAAAATTTTAAAATTAGGTAGAGAAGAATATTATTATCTTGATCGACACAATTTTATAAAAATGTGACTCAAAATCCTCTCTTTTTTGTCAATTGCTAAAAAAATAAAAACTACTACGATCTCAAGGTTTTCGTTAATGAAAACTCGATTAGATTAATCGAAGTACAATTTCCACAGCACTTGGTATAAATTGCAAGTATCGCACAGCGAGGGTTGTAATTCGATCGCCTTGTAAACAAGTATCCATTGAAGTTGTGCGTCGCATCGGCACGATGCAAACAACCGGCCAGCTAATTTGTTTCCAATTAACAATCAAGTTTCAGTTAAATGCTAATTAACAAAGCACAAAGTGCGTCTATTCTGCGCCATTGGTTAGGAGGCGTAATTGAATGCGAACAAAGCATCGAGGAAACACATTAAAGGAAGACAACCTATCACGGACCAAAGAGAAAACACGCTCCTTCCCGTAACAGTAACAAAAAGCCGCATCCTTTTACTATTCAACTACGTTAAAATGAGACCGTGGAATGCGATCTATGTCCCGCTTTCATGATATTCGCTACTGATAATTGACGATCCTCTCGATAAGTTACGAAACAGCGAAGATCAGTGCTTAAATACGACTCCACTTTTCCCATCTATGTATACGTGCACATAAAGCTAAAATATAATTAAATATTACAGGTTTTAACAACTTTTTTCAGAATTTAATTTTTGCCACAATTTAATTGTTAGTTAAAAATTTTAAATCGACATTATGGTTTTTTGATCTTTCTTAAATTTTAGAATTTTTTGATTGATTAATTAATTTTATATATTTTACTTGAAAATAATTGATAAATCAAAAAATTTTAAAATTTAAGAAGAATTTTCAAACAACATAGTGTTGTCGATTCAAAAGTTTTGACTAATAATTGGAGAAAAAATAAAATTCTGAAAAAATTATTAAAACCTTTTATATTTTAGCTTTATATTAATAGAATTTTAATTGATCGTTACTCTAGCATTGAAAATACGCTGCGATCGAATTTCTTCTGGTATGTAAAATCAATTATGCATAATTCAGAAGTTACATTTGTAGATTTATTCTTATCGTATCTTCGTGTTCGAACGTTTTTCGATTGCCCTGAATTAACGAAAGCGACGATCACTTTCGATTAGAGAATTATGCTTCTAACGGGTGTCTAGAAAATGATGGGAGAGCGGGGGCGTGATGCAGACGCGGCGGAAAGCAGAATGCATAATAATGGCTCATAAATTTTGACGCTCATAAATTTTCCGCGAGGGTCGATCGCGCATGTTTCAGCGAAACCGGCAACGAGCTCGACCAGGGTTGATCTGGTGCGCGTCCGCACGCGTGCCGAACTGTTCAACAGGGATCATTTGCATGTCGCCGCTAGTATTTCCGGTTGAGATGGCGTCACAGCTATTCAAATTGAAGGGTAAAACTTAACGTGATTGTTCCTCATAAACATGCGAAGAGCAAAAAAAAAAAACGCAAATCCGTATATTATCGCTGCTTTAATCCGTGTTTTTTTATGAATAATATATTTTTATAGTATACGCATTTTTTTCTAGCAGAAATTCTTTTTTAATATGCAATTTTGATTTTATTTTTATAATTGCACGTATAATTTTATTAAAAAAAATTTATACCATATGATTTTTTAAATTTATTTTGATTTTATATGACATTTATTTCTATTATTGTATATACCTTTTAAAATGTGTGATGTATATGTGTGTGTGTGTGTATCTGTCTGTATGAATGCATGATAAATTTCTACTAACTACTTCCTTTCTGTAACAATCACATTTTTTGTATCTCTTGTTCTGATAGAAAAAAAGTGCCATAGATTGTGAGCGTCTAGAAATTCGAGCGAACTATTTTTATTCAAACATGTTCGTTTGCCATCTTTTGTGGTCAAACAAAGCGGAACTCTTCATCACTGTAATTTCTACAGTGCGCACTTTTTATTGAACACTTTTTTTTTTTAACAATACGGAAGTTTAATACACAGAAAATCGGTGGAGTGCAGATTCTCTCGCGCAATATGCTATTTTTACCGCACATCGTATTTTTGCTACCGAAGAGTCCGAATAACAGGCGAATGGTCACTAGCCGATCGATAAGCTGCGATTTGACATGAATGTCAGTTTGCTGGGAGTTGAAAACGGAATAAAAGGCGCGTGATGAAACGAGGAAAAAGGCTTTGGCTTTAGTGCGGGTACGTGATATCGATTCCATGCATTCAGAAATTTGCATCATGAATGAAAGAATTAAGAAAAGAGTTTCTCTGACATTTCGCTAGAGTTGTTCTTTGTAGATTTTTATCTTTGCATAATTTAGCAACTGTTTACTGTGTAAACTATATGAACTATGCAAAATACTATGCATATAGAAAATAATTCATTTTTTATTTTGATGCTACAATTATAATTTAAAAACAAATATTTTAACATAAATAAAATATTTCTCATTATTTTTTTTTCTTCAAATCGAAAAGCGATTGATTATATAACACATTAATATATAACTTTATTATTTTTATACATCTCATTCTCTCTAATATATCGAGTGGTTGACAATCGATATAATCAAAAAAGATACGATAGATAAGATAATAAAATTACTGAAAGTCATCAAACAATCAAAGATTGAATTTTAACTATAATTCAATTTTCTGTTCACATCTCTGTAATTTACCAGAAGGATTCTAGAAAGACAAATATTCAGTCGAAACAATATTCAAATTTAATATCAGTAAAAGCAATTTTTATTCTTCGACAAGCTACTACCTATTTTCGCGGATTGCATTTATAAAGTATCAAATACTCCGTGTAATTGGGTTATAACCCTTTCCGACATGAGCGAGTTATTTCTTTGCTCACCACCGCGTGACGATAGTCGTGATTGGACTTAGTGGAAACTTACCGGTAAACTTGGCTACTCCTTTCAAGACGACCTCTATAGAGTATGGCTCGCTGGAACCTTTCGCGTTTACCGCGTAAAGGGCGACCTTTGCCGGCTTGAGCATTTCGAACTCCCAATAAGGGCTTGGGGATTCTAGACGTCGTTTGCCTACGATGGCGACGAATTTCTGCGGCAGACCACCGTCGTATCCTTCGACGCAAGATATCCTCACCCAGGAACCGTTCAGATTATAGGTGGTGCAGTTCTGCAACGGGTAAGGTCTGCCTGCGGAGAAGATGCGGCTTTGGAGATCGTGAGAGCCGAGAGAGAGCAAGAGGGAGAGATTGTGGTCTCCGATTAAAGAGGACACGAGGTGGTCCTCAAAGAAAAAGCACAGTTCATTTTTCAAATAAGTCTATTTTTTCTCATTCTATACCTTTTGTTCTTGTCTTTTATTCTCTCTACGAGAAATCCTCTCAAGTTTTACCTCTCTCGGAGCTCTCCAGATCTTTTATAAGAATACACAAAAAGATAGAAAAAATAATAATGTTAATATTTCAATGACAGATATAGATTTAGAAGTGAAGTTAACAAATTAATTAATTTATAGCAATTGTTAGTATACTAACTAATGAAATTACTATGAAGAATTAGTTGGTATACGAACAATTGCTATAAATTAATTAATCTTTCTCTTCTAAATCTATATCTATCATTGAAATATTATTAATTTTCATACTATTTATATAATTCCTTTAAAATAAAACATTAAATTCTGAAATATTTAAAAAATACAGTGAGTATAAAAACATGAACGAAATTCATTTTCCGTGATTCATTTTTTGATTTTCCTGAAAACACACAGGTTTATATTTCGCAAATAAAAAAAAATATTCTTGCAATTATATTTCTGATTTTTTTCAACTGCAAAACATATCATACTCGTATAAATCACAGCAAGATCAATCTCCAGACAAACACGTTGTCAACGCTATTTTTCATGTTTACAAAGATAAATAGAAACATTTATTTGATACAATATTCGATAAAATAACAAACAGCAACAATTTAGTAAAAAAATATTTCAAAAGATTTTTTCGTTATATAAATATTTTATATAATCATAGATTCACATATATCTATTATTATCTAGTAATAAAATATCTATTAATATTTATAATAATTAGTGCAATTAATATTCTTTTGTTTTTGTACCTCAGAGTTGCTGCTATTTTTCCTCAATTTGCTTGATTAATAATTTTTTTAATTTAATTTTATATTTTTGTTATATTTCCATTTATTTCAAGAAATTTCATTCCAATATATTATAAATTTATATCTTTATTTTTATTTTTTACGGTTTAAGTCGCGTTACAAGAGCTTTCAAATTGAAATTCTGACGATATGAAAAAATGAGATTGCCGCAATGCGCGCGTTTCACAAATTTCGCTTTATTACCCGGCCAAAATTACGTCGCGTTTTTAAGGCAATAAGATTATATTATACGAAACCATTATTATCAGCTACGCCGGTGGTGCATTAGCCAAGAATCTCCATATTGTACACAAACGCGAGTAAAAAATTCCACTGTCAGCCATTACATATTGTTTCATAATTTTTTGCAATATGTATAAATCCATAAACAATCAGACCAATTTTTAGCAAAAATCCTCTTATCGAAGACATATGTATAATGACGCTAAATGTCATTGTTTCATTTTCTGTGTATGATCCTTTTCAAAGATATAGAGAATTAGTACATTCAATTAATTTCCTTTTTATATTTTCTCGAGTTTCTAAGTTAATAAAATTTGTAACATTATATAATGTAAGAAATATAAATAACACATGGTGAATTATTTAATGCAACTAAGGTACTGTTTCCTTGAGAACGGAAGTAGAGAACGGTGAAGTTGCGGATATTTCTCCCTCGCGAATTCTCCAAAAAGCATCGCGACCGATTCTTTCAGTTGCGAGTTTAACAAGAAGAAGAACGCGGAAAGATCATTGTGGTGTGTCTTGCCGGTGCGTGTCCTGCCATTATTACACGGTTTCACTACATTTATTTTCGCCGCGCATCGCGCAATTGCTTTTGCCATCGCTAATCTCCTGGAAAGTGCAAAACGGAAGAAAATAGCCCGGAGGAAAAGGAGGAGGAAACAGAAAGAGGGAGGTTAATAGCACTGTCGTTGCTCACAGACGGCGGCTACGGATTAAAGCGCCGGTTTAAAGTGCTTATTTTTCGTCATTTGCTTTATTATCCATGCTCATATCGCGTGTGTAACTCGAGACCGCCATTCTGTTCTCAAGAGAAAAAAATGCGGAAATTCATAATTATCTCTCGTTTTTCCTGAATGCAAAATTACATCAAACTTGGAAAAAACTTATGTAATTTGAATATTCGTTGGGTCTTTAATCGCGTATTTTTCGGCAGAGTCCATAAGTTTTCAGAGGAAATTTCATACTACATAATGTATTTTATTTGTATTTTTATTTCATATGAATTTATTTAATTCTTGACATTAATTCTCTATAATTATGTTTTAAAATTAAATTTTTGTTTTTAAGTAAAATTATCTTGAAAAATTCAACAACATACACTTTAAACTTTATGTTTATAAATTTATTCTCAAATTTAATTGATTATATAATTGTTGAATTATTATTTATAAATTTATATAATATATTTATTACCCCCTATTTATTTTTTAATATACCGTATCAAGAAAGAAAATAGAGAATAAAAACCCTACAATTAGTAGCTCAATTAAGAACACTTGCGCAAGACATTACTAAAAGACGTTACTGAGAAAAGTATTAAAATTTACGTTTTGACAGTCTTCTAAAACTATATCGTACAATTGCGATATTAAATATTATGTTCATTAAAAATTGAAAATTATCTTCAATTTATATTCAGAGAAAATATTTCTAAGGTATCATTGTTGTTTTCATCTTTGTGAATTCTTTGATCTACTTAAAGTTTATTTAAAATAAAAAAACATGCGACAGTTCTGGAACGTCATGCATTTACAATAAATTTATAACCACTGCAACCGACAGCATTCGCAACGAATCGAGGTCGAGTTTATCACTTCGTCTCTCTGAGACCTTAACGCGGAGATTAAATCGCGGGACTTGCCAACGTGCGTCCTTGTTTACGGTCTCTTCAGGATCTTACGGGAGAATGTGCAACGATTAACAACAACGTGGGCACTTGCATTTTAACGCCTCGCGTCATCGTTCTAATTAAATCACCGAGTACTCACGTCATTGTTTGCATTCGACAAAAAACGTTCGCGAATCGCAACACTGATGAAAGGTTGTGGAGTAAAATAATATTGATCTGGTTTTTTTTTTCTGCTGATATTTGAATTCGCAATCGTTTTTTAAAATTGAACTTATTCAATGACGTATTACTACACGTGACCTGAAAAACAGACTTTAAGTAGATAAAAAAAGGTGTCTATAAAAATTGTAGTTTTAAAAACGTAAAAAAATCTGAAAATATAACAAAAGTTTCATTACTTTCATTTAATTCCTCGCATCAATGGATTGTTTGCATTGAATTGAAACAGTTCTGAACAAATTTTCGTATATAATCGACATTTCTATATGCATCGTTTATTAAACATTTTTAATATGATATTTAATATATGTATATATATTTATTATATATATTTATATATGTTGGAAAAATGTATATTTGCCTCGAAAATATTACCGAGATTATCGATTGACATAGATATACACGATCATCGCAAAAGCATCGCGATGCGAAATGCTGCGCGCGCGGAAAAAGTACGTACACGGTAATTACATAAGGAAATACATTGAACCAATATACGAAATAAATTATATGTCCAATTACCGCGAGCGGGCGGGTCATAGTAGCCGAAGCGGGAAAAGTATAGTCCGCGGAGCTTCCGGCGAACCAAAATCGATTCGGTTGTCCGTCCGTCGACGAGGCGATATCACAGCCCGTCGAAAACACGGAAAACCATGACCGCGGAACGGACAAGACTTTTCCGGTCGGACACGAGGATTCAGGAACTAGCACGACGGCGACAGCGGCGGCGGCACGACAGGCGTTATACCTCGTAATGAACATATTCAATTACGGTTTTCATTAAATTCCCGCAAAAAAGCGCGCGACCAACGCGGGCGAATTTCAACGTGGCGTCTCTCATTGTGCAACGTTCCGCGTCTCTTTTTCTTTTTTGTTTCTCGCTTCTTTTCTTTTTCTTCTTCCTCCCTTTTTCTTAATTCTCGCGACTTTTCTTCGTCAAATTTTGCTAGATCGTGATGCGAGTGAGAAAACACATATATTTGGCATCAGAATTGGCACAATTTTTAACTCTTATTGGACTTACGTATTAATCCGTTCTTACATCATAATGAATTTTAATAAGAATATGAAATACAAAAAATTCAGACTTGATAAAATATCTTCTAAGAAGAAGCAAATTTCAAGTAAGCCAAGAAATTTCGCATTTCGGAATTGCGATGAACAAGCTGCATATCTGCAAATACGCAATTGACAATATTGAATTTCGAAAAGCCGGGAAGATTGGTTTGCAAATATTATCCCTTTGCGATGTATAGGTCAATGTGGTCAGATTATAATATGGTTTTACAGGTATTATGTTACTTGATTATAAAATTAATTAAGAGATGGCTTTAATTACGGCGTTATAAACTGATAAATTATTCTGGTGCAATAATAGTTACATTTCCACTAATTATGGATTAATGTTTGTACACAATATAATAACAATGAACACACATGTGCAATGAATACACGGGACAGAATAACAATTGATAATGAAGAGCAATCAGTTGGGACATATGTATATACATATATGTATAACGAATAGAGAATATTGTCGCACTCTGGTTCGCGCATTCGTCATTTTGTAAATAGTTAAATACATTAAACATGCTGTTTTAACTTTTTAAAAAGTTTTTTCACGACAAGCAAAACATATATAGAAATGAAAAGTAAATCATCTATATTATTCAACATTTGCGAACACGGGTAGTAATTAAATATTATTATTCGTTGCAAGAAAAATATATTTTTAAACCAATGACTAAAAAATGTATACACCAAACGGTTCGTCGCGTTTATTTACTTCGCAACTTTTAATAAAAATGTAATGGAGAAACAGTCACAAATTTTAACCAACATGAAAAGATTTTGAAATCCCAAAGTCGAATATTACATTTATATCTTTTATAAAAATTAGATACATATGACAATATTTTTATACTGTGAACAGTTATCGGGAAGTATTCAACAAATAATTTGACAGCTAAAACTATACTATTGCAAGTACACTATTGAATATTTGTTGTGTATCTATAACTGATAGTTTATGGATTTTGTAAACCTGCTTCGTTGTTTTTTTTTACGTATATGTTTTCCCGTTTAATAGCATTTCAAGTTAAATAAACAAATCAGATTTGACATAAAAATTGAGCTTAGTCAAAGCAAAAATAAACACACAATTTATATTGAGCTGTGTACAATACAAATACCATCCTCTCTCTCTATAATCAAATTATTACTAAAAGTTTGAAAAAAAAGCATCGTTTCATATTTGTAATATTTTTTCAAACAAACGAGTTTCTTCTTTGCAATATATAGAAATAAGCTATATTTATTCTACACGTTATTATTCCGAATTGTACACGTCGCAGCCGGATTAAAACCAGATTAAAACGAAAAGGCAACATGTGGCAAAGCGGTGGAGTAGACAAACTCACACAAACCTGCGGCAATGACTTGATAGAGGCAAGGTTGCTTGGAGTGACCTACGGCGTTGCTAGCCCAGCAGCCCAGAACCCCGTAATCCATATCGGTCAATGGGGTGTAATTAAGCCTGCTGGTTGTGCCCTCGTTGGTGTACTTGGTGGACGGAATGTCGCTGAGGTCGCCACTGCTGTTGAAGGTCCAATGGAAGGTCACATTGGTGGGGCTGGCCTCGACCTCGCAAACTAAACTTATGGTCTCGTGCTTTAGAGCACCGTGCACTTCCTCGGGCACGTTGAACGGCGGCGGAGTGGCGTTCTGATGCCTCCAGCCTCCGCTTGAGCTCAGCACGTGCTTGCAAACGGGCGCGACTGCGGCATATAACGTATGGATTTTGGCACTTCACTATGTATTCTAGGCAGGAGCCCACGAGAACAATACAATCGAGATAAATCATAAGCTAAGGGAAAAGTGCAAAGCGAAATATAAAATAAAAATGCATATACACATTGCACGCACACATCTTACAAGTATACAGCTTAAAATAAAATATGACCCACCAAGATACCACATTATTGTATTCTAGAAAAGATAAACGTAGGACATGGGCGATATCGCGAAAATAATATTTAATAATAATATTTTATTAGAAACCAAATAACGTACTTAATGTGATGAAACTAAATATTTATTTGAAAACATTTGTTATAAATTTAAATTAGTGTTGTAATATAAAGTATATTTGAATTTGGCATAATACGTGGAATAATGTGAGCCAAGAACAGTTTGTTGGTCGAAATATATGTTAGCGCACAGTGTTAGTTAGTTCATGGTTTGAAAGAAAACATAATTAATTATGAATGAAATCTGTGTGAAGCTGCTAAAACCGAGTTTGCGAATCAACATATATATCTATTACTGCTTTAAGATAAAGAGGGATACAAATGTACTTTAGCGAATATATAAATGATGATAAATGGTGTATTTGAAATTTTGGAGCTTTTTCGTCGAGTTTCAAATTGACGCACACTAGGTAAACCGATAGGAAGTTACGACGCTGTATATAGCTACACTCGCCATATTTTTAACCGATAAGCTGCATTTTCTGAAAAATATTCCGCCTGCGTATCGATGCGCGAAACACACGTCGGACAAAAGATTCGGATTTTCAGCGAGATTCTTTTGCATAAGCGTTATATATTAGACAGCGGAAGAGTGGTTTCCACAAGGAGGTGCAGATCGATAATCGTCCGTGGTATAACCGGTCGGTTTTATTTATACTTTCCGACACCGTAAAATCGGAGCGCGAGAATTTACGCGACGCACGGATATTCCATAAAATATCGGAGAGTTTGGCGAAGTAGTAGTGGACCGATCGTGGTCAGCCGCGAAGTAGTACGAACAGAACAGAACTGAAAAGCGCTAAATTTCTGAGTTCCTTGCCTTTTTTTCTTGCAATTTTTATGCTAAATCTTCTAATTTCCATATTCAGAGTTTTTCATCGAGATAATTTCTCAATTTTAATTCAGGTTTGAAAAAACAAAAATATATTTTATACAATTCTGATTCGACTTTTATAGCATCTCCCTCCATATATAACGGAGAAACAGTAAATAAGATATATTTATTTAAGCTTCTGCGGTCTCATATATAAAAATAGCTTTCGAGTAATAAAACAATCAGTAAGTAGTTAACAATTTATTCGAATTTATTCATTATAATTGAATACGAATTGAAAAAGAAAAGAAAAATATAACTGATTGTCAATTCTCACTCTCTCTATTCCGCTTCAATTTTGTCCTCAATTTGTATCTGAATTTTTAAAATTGCAAGATAATCGAACGCTCTTAAATATCTTCATTATTATGGATTTTAACAAACTCATATCTCATATATAAAAAATAGCTTTCGAGTAATAAAACAATCAGTAAGTAGTTAACAATTCATTCGAATTTATTCATTATAATTGAATACAAATTAAAAAAGAAAAGGAAAATATAACTGATTGTCAATTCTCACTCTCTCTATTCCGCTTCGATTTTGTCCTCAATTTGTATCTGAATTTTTAAAATTGCAAGAAAATCGAACGCTCTTAAATATCTTCATTATTATGGATTTCAACAAACTCATATCTCAAAACAAAAATTTCGGCAAAACAATCAGTAAGTAGTTAACATTTCATTCGAATTTATTCATTATAATTGAATACGATGAAAAAGAAGGAATTAAACTGATTCTCACGAACTCTCTCTATTCGCTTCGAGAACGTCGCAATTTGTAGAATTTTAAAAATTACTTACAAATAACCTCGAAATTGACTACGTTGGATTTCGCGGCCTCATATTCTCGGCCATGCAAAATATCCTTCGGCGGAATCTCGAGTTATACTTGCAGCACCAGCGAATTTATTCGAGAGCACGATGCGGCAGTGGACGTTGTGATGCAGCTGCTCCTTCTGAATAAGCAAACGAGATACGAGGTATCTCGTGAACGAATTGCTATATGTGCGCGAGTACAGAAACGACCTAAATCTCATTTAAGCGCAACACAGTATTTGTTCGAATAATACCAACTTGCGTTGCACACGACATTTCCAGATAACGCAATTCAGTCTCTAACAACCCGCAGTCAATTTGAATCAATCTAGATCCATCTGACAAGAGTCTGAATCTGAATTTAGAAAAGATGCGTTTCTTCGCGGTTAAATTCATTTAAAAATAATAATAATATCTCCTCTTCACCACGTTGTTCTAAGACTAATTTGAACCAGCTCCTGAAATGTAAACGCGACACAGAGACGCCCGCAAGATTGTTAGATAACAGATGAAACACCGACGATCGTTCCTAGTGCTTTCCACGCGCTTCTCTCTCTCTCTCTTTCCGCGTCAAATTCCCGCAGGACCAACCCAACGGCTCTCATTGTTACCCGTCGCAAATAAAAAATTTGTCTTAGTCTTGGCATTCAGCACCGCTTCCGCCTCGACGGAGATCGTGCTGCTACTCGGGAGGAAACAACCGCGGCCCGCCACGGGTTGTCGTCCGCTCGAGGAGGTCGGACAAAGGGAATTTACGATGTACACTTGTCCTCCCACTATCTTCCCTATTTCCTCCCCGTCTCTTTCTCTCGCTTCCTCTATCTCTTCCGTGGGATAATCCCGTCGCTTTTCTTTTTCTATGCTTTATCGTTACTCTTCTTTCTCGCCTTTCCACACTCTTCCCTTTCATCCGTCTCTATCAACGCTCTCTTGCGATTCTCTGCGTTTTATTCCTCGTCTTTTTGTCTGAATCCCATCGTGTATAGAATCGTAAGCATATTCTTGGCTGGCGGATTTCAAGAGCGCTCTCCGCATGCACAATCTTTCCTTAGGAGGAATTCAATTGAGAATGATGCTTCTTTACACGTTTTAATTTTGGATATTAAATCTGTACTATCTATACTTACTAATTATTAAAACAGTTTCCATTCATAGATAGCTTAATCTTTTTTAATAGTAATTAATTCGATCGCTGCTATAATTTAAATTTTATATTTGTATGTTACAGATAACGTGTAAAATTCGGGAGTGCTGTTAAAAGTACCGTGCGTATAAGTGCGGGAGTGCTGTTAATTAAAGTATCGCGCGTACGAGTGCGGGAGTGCCGAAAGTATCGCGCGTGTTATAGTTAATGAATTTGGACGACCCTGACAACCCGAGAGGAGGAGGAGGCCTGAGAGAGGCATCGAGCACCGGCAGAGCAACCTTAAGGTAAATATCGTTATTTGTATATTAATTATTATAAATCATATTAATTCATATTAATTTATTTATTTAAAAAGAGAAACTTAGAGATATTATATAAATTATTTTTTTATTTATAAAATTATTTTATTATATATTTATATATAGTTGATTAATTGTTATGCACCAAATTTAAATATATTTTTTTTTGGAAATAATAATTAATTTGAACGCTGCGATAATTTAGATTTTATATTTGTATGTTACAGAGACAACGTAGTTTGACATCAACTACTCTGCTGTTGTGCATCGGTGTCGGTGAGTGAGAAAAACTTTTAATATAATTTTGAGGTAACGGATTTATAGATCGTAGTTGTAGATTGTAAATTGTTTATTGTAGACAGAATTCGTTGCCTCAAAATGGATAGACTAAAATAAATTAGATCAAATTTATTTTAACTTTTGATAGATGCCTTTAATATATATAATTAAAGCATATTACATATACAAGTTAAAGTTTAAATTATAGTATAAATTAAAGAAAGTTACACAAAGAAGTTAAATTCAGATTTCATTTAATTATTTTATTTAAAGAACGCACTTTTATTAATTGTTTGCATAGTAACTATACTGTTATTGTATAAAAATAACTTATTCTTTTAAGAATCGTTGATTATTTTCATTTTTGTATAGTCTATCCATCTATGTAGTGTGACATATGAAAGTATTTTACTTTGATTGATGTAAATCCAAGTTATCGATCAATTAAATAATGTAAATAATATGAATGTTTTAATGAATTTTAATTTATTATAAATTTATTGTAAATAATATTATATATATATATATATATATATATATATTATTAGAAAAATATCAATGAAATTATTTTGATCGATGACTCGGCCTTATGTTAGTTAAAACAAAATTAAATTCAACGTTGTATGACAAACGATCATGAATTCTTACGATCGTATGGGTAAATAACGTAAACGCGATCTGCTTGTCAGATCTAATATTTGATATTTTTTAATGTTAAAATGCATAGTTAAATATACGCACACAATTCTTGGATTGTGTATATGTGCATTACCTAATATTTTGATAAATTTATACTAAAACATAATGAGATATTTCTTTTGAAATAAAGTATGAGACGCGAAATTCCATCAGCTATTTACAGCATCGACAAACTCTTAACTTCATTATCGAGATTTCGATACATTTGAACAATCATCTGTTGATTTTTATTACTTATTGCTTACTCTTCGGAGAGAAAAAAAATCTCGTATAATTCTCTTTAATTGCCCTCTTTCGCGCACGTATGGATCGAAATGCAACTCGCTCTTGTGTACCATTCGAGAACGATAGCGCCGTTTTGCACTTGCTTCTCTCTCTGACGCTGATTTACATTGCGCGGGAGAAAAATTCCGCTCGAGCGGAAACATCGACGCGATCGTGATGCAAAATATTTGCACGCTTTAAATCACGAAGTTCAGATAACGGTGGTTTTTTTTTTCCCCGAAGCACGAGTAAAAACACGAAACAAAGTTACCGAATTCACGATGTGGTTTGATATGGTCTTGTATTTTTTTAAATAGAATTTTTTGAAAGGTAGCAAGTATTTTTATATATTCAGCAATTTTTTAGTATTTGAACTTTTATAATATAATAAATTGAAGAGATATATATTAAATTAAAATATATTAAAGTTATATATATTAAAATTATATCAAGCTAACATTTCCTTAAATATTATTAAAAGTATTTATTGATTGATTTTTTTATAATAAAAGCATTTTTATATAAGAATATCTTATGTAAAAATAAATTCTATTTTCTGAATCTTTGAAGATAATAAGGTAAGTGTGTAATAAAAATATTAATTATGCTAGAATAGGATCGATATTAACATTAAACAGAGCATCAAAAGATATATGTACATACTTATAACTATTTGTTGTCAAATGAATTTATTGAATACACATGTCAAAATGAATTAATAAGAACCGAAAGGGATTAAAGGATCTCCGATAGTGAGTTTGAGAAGAGTTGCATTTACGAGGGTCGATACGCGACGGGCGGATAAGATCGAACGAAACCGGGTCGTCACAAATAATGTCGAGAGAAGGTACCTATAGATGCGGTAGCAATAGCGACCGCGCGAGGGAAAAGAGGCTCGCGTGCTTGTTTTAGATGAGTAACGAGCTCCGTATCTGTCCTCCTGCGGAAATTCTCCTGTATATGTGCCGAGGGTGTCTGCAGCATCGCTGCAGAATCGGGAAGCGATACGTCTTCGCGGGAGACAGTATCGCCATTGTATATGCGCATTCGTGTGTCAATGTCTTAAGCTTTAAACGCTCGTGAGAAGCAGAAAAGCCTCATGATCTCGCGAATTATCACGCATAATGGCAAACGGAGCAAACTCCCTGTAGTCTGATTAAAAAAGATTTTTTTATAAATATAAAATTATATACAACTTTTAATTTATGAATTAGAACATATTCATATTTTATCCATATAAAAACAGACGTATAACTTATCGTATTTTAAATGAATGTCCATTCATGATCTCTTATCTATAATTCTCAACTTTTAATCATATTCATATTTTATCCATATAAAAACAGACGTATAACTTATCGTATTTTTGCATAGAAAAATGAATATTCCAACCATGTCTTCTATTTCTCTTCTCTATTAAAACTTATCGCATCTCATATCCCGTGATTTTTCTTCTAAAAACTATATATTTGAACAGCAACAGTTTTAGCCACTTTTGCAGTCAGGTAATTCGTATTTTTCAATGGATAATTCGCGATGAATAATGCGTTGTCAACGAAACGTGAACTATTTCCATCTCGAAAACTCTCTCGCGGCGCAAATGGAATTTCCTATTTCGACGGCCACCTCCAGGATACGCCGTCCTAAGGGAGTCGCGTATTCTCTTTCGCTCTCTCTCTCTCTCTCTCTCTATCTCTCTCTTGTCTTACCATTTCCGCGTGAGTTCTCGCGTAACACGACGCCGTCGTATTAGACGTTAAATATACGTACAGTGTCAGAGACCGGGTGATAGGAGCGCGTGCCTCGTTCTAGAATATATCCGCGTCACCAGGTATAATATACAGGAAGCTCCTCCGGACTCGAGACACGGACGATAAGTTCCAACCCTCTGCTCCCTTTTGCCTCTCACTCTTGCAGCGGCAACACTCCGTTACGATGGTACGTGCATCTTACACCGCGTGCATCTCGTCTCGGCGAAAAGTTACGCCATTCGCTTGGGTTATGCATAAGTAACAGCTAAATCCTTTTTTAACTTTCAACTCGCGCCCGAGCACGCTTTCTCGTGGCTTTCGCGAGATGATGCGAGGAGATATCCCGATGTGGATGCGAGTCTTTTCTCAATGGAGAATTACAGAGATTGAAAGCGCGATATGATTTCGGTGAATTGAAATGTAGAGTTGATACTTTAAATCGAATTTACATTTTATGTTTTTTCTTTGGGTGAGATGAGTTTACATAATCATTTTTTTTAGCGTAAAACATAATCGAAAATCAATAATATATGAAACTATGACACGAAGAATGATAAAGTTAAAATCCAGAGTATAAATGCATGATAGTAACACAAACATTTGGAAAAGAATTTTAGATATAACCATTAAAACCGCGTGTCGAGCACACAGAAAATTTTGCCATATTTTCTCGTACGAGCAATTTTTCATCCCATTTCCGT